GGCCTGGGGGACGGGTGGTGGGGTGGGGGGTCGATGCTGAGGGAGATGGGAGCAGGCAGACCCTGGGGGGGTGACCCCGGGGGGGGGGGACACATTCACCCAGTGAGTAGACCCTCACGGGCCACTTCTCCCTGAGGGGTGTCCCCAGCGTGTGGGGTCCGGGCCCCGAGCACCCCAGCCTGGGCTGCGAGCCGAGACGGTCTGCGGTGGCCCCATTGAGCGCCCGGGCGGCCAGACCGGCCCTAGAGCGGCTCTGCCCGCTTCTTCCTCTGTGTGAGGGTGAAGACGTGTTGAAAATTGATTTCTGCTGGAAATGGGATAATTAAACTGGTTGTTTCTATCTCCATCATCGTCATAATAAAACGAGGGGACAGCAGGGTTGCGCATGGCATGAAGTAATATTGTCTGTCTTAATGCAAGGGAGCATTAATTGAATACAGATGGCCTTCCTGGAGCGGCTCAGTTATATTTCAGAGAAACGGGATAATGACGCCAGTTAATCATTTTTACAAGATAGAAAATTACTGGCTCCTCTGGGAAGATCATTAAGGAAAACAATTGTTCACAGCAATTGAAAATAGAGTTTTAATTATTTAATATAGAAATTAAACTATTGGAGACTGGTGCTGGAAGACGGAACTTAATAGAAATTTATACACAAGCATCTGTGAGCGTTTTAGCTTTATTAACCTGCCTAATTTCTTAACCTGGATCCATTGGGGAGCCTGCTTCAGCCGTGACTGGGCTTACTGCTTGCAGAGGGCCTGGCACACAGGTGCCCGCGGACCCCACACTCGCTGTCCCAGGAGCACCTGCTGGGAGCTGCTGGGGGCGGGGGGGCGTACCCAGGAACCCAGAGCACCTGCGCCAGGAGGCGCGTACGCCGGCCAGGACGGGCGGAGGCCAGGGTCTCCCGCTCAGCAGGGGCAGTGGGGTGTGTGAGGGCCGCGTCACAGAGGGGGACCTCAGGTGTGGCCGGGTGACGCTGCTCCACAGGGACTGAGGCACGGATGTGAAGTGTTAAGCTGGGGCAACCCACCTTACGGGCCACGTGACTGTGACCCCCTGGGTGTCCTGGCCAGAGCGAGGTACTGACCCCGGCCGGCCCGGCTCAGAGCCCACGTGACCCGAGCCCCCAGCCCACTCATCCTCAGGCTCACCTCCCCAGGGCGGAGGGGGACACCCCCATACTGCCCGCCCGATCTGCCCAGAGGACCTCGGTGCTGGCGCACTGGGCTCCCACGTGGGCAAGTGTCCCCTGGAGGCCAGAGGTGCTTTCAAGACTTTTGACTCAAACATCTGTAAATGGGAACTCCTGCTGAGTGGCCACGTGGGTGGCGGGCTGAGCATAGGAACGCGGGTAGAGAAATCCAGAAATCCATCCAAACACTGACCTCGGGTGTGGGCTGGGAGTACATTTTTCCCTTTGTTTTTATTCTCCAAATTTCCTACAAGAAGACATAGAGTTTTTTAAAAAAGTCCTTTTTTAAAAAATATGGAAATCACGGGGTGCCTGGGCGACTCAGTGGGTTGAGCGTGGGACTCAGATTCAGCTGAGGTCGTGATCTCGGGGTCCTGAGATCCAGCCCCGCCTCTGCGCTCAGCAGCAAGTCTGCTGGGGGTTCTCACGCCCTCTGCCCCTCCCCCACCTCTCTACGATACACGAGTCTTGACAAAATATGGAAATCACTATTTTCTTTTTCTTTTTAATATTTTATTTATTTATTTGACAGACAGAGATCACAGGTAGGCAGAGAGGCAGGCAGAGAGAGAGGAGGAAGCAGGCTCCCCGCTGAGCAGAGAGCCCGATGCGGGGCTCGATCCCAGGACCCCGGGATTGTGACCGGAGCCAAAGGCAGAGGCTTCAACCCACTGAGCCACCCAGGCGCCCCAGAAATCACTATTTTCAAGACTTAAATTAGTAAAGTGGATGCCACTTTTTAAAAAGGTGGTGACACGCACACAGAGAACACCCGGGGTTACGAGCGAGGGGCCCTGCCACGCTGGGCTGGGCCTGCACAGGCAGTCAGGCCCTTCCAGTCCCCTGCAGGCCCCAGCCCTGGGCAGCTGAGGCCGGGGCTCACGAGCGAGGGGCTCAGGTCAGGAAGCCTGGCTCCAGCCAAGGGCTCCCACGGCCACCGCACACATGCGGGTCACCGGTGCGGGGAGGGCGGTCTCCTGGAGCCCCCGGGCCCTCGTGACATTGCAGATCTGATCACCCTTCCTCTTAGGGCTGCCACCGTTCTAATTACATACTGTCTATTATTACCAATAAATTCCAAGCGATCTTTTTTCTCCTTATAGTTTTTAGGGTTCCATAAATCCCCCCTATGCAATTTTCCGTGCTTGAATATATTACGGAATGCCACGTCTGTTACAGAAGCTAATTGATAATGTGATTCGTCATGTGGCGGGGGCATAATTCAGAAAGTTATTTCAAAGCCTCCAATACGCGGACCAGCACTCGCGCTTCATATTTCTCACACGAGCAGACACGGTGTGAGGTAAAAAATGTGGGTTGTGCAGATGAAATATTCCCAGAGGCTTTTATTCTCGCTGTTTGGGTGGGAGCCAGCACCGCTCTAGAAGGGAGCTCATCTGTCCCGGCGGCTCGGACTTGAATTTATTCCCTGATCATTAGTTAGCTCTTTTTTTCTAAACTGGAACAAGTATGTGTACATGTTTGACAAAAGGGAAAAAATTAACCAAGAAGGAGGGAGTCGCCACGCTTAGACGCTGTCAGTGACGAGCTGCTTTTAAACTCCTCCTGTGGAGCTGGTTACGGACGGCCGAGAAGTTGCAGAAACAGCGCTGGGGACGCCCTTCACCGGCCGCCCCGGGGCAGTGTGGGGACCCCTGGCACAGTGCCACGCACAGACAGCGACCGTGCTCCGCCCGCCATGTGCACAGGCCACGTGCAAGGGTTTCCCACATGCGGATCTCTGGCCTGTGGCTGTGGGGGCTCCCTCCTGCCCCCCCATGCTGTGCCCGCGACACCAGCCTGCTCTCCCCGTCTGCGGCTTTGACCTCTGCGGAACCGGCAGAGGTGACGATGTCATCATCCGGGTGTGACCTTGCCGGCGTGGCCATTGCTCACGGCCTCGTGCCCCTGGAGCCATCTGGGGGCCATTGTCCACGGCTTCTCCTCTGGGGTCCTGCTGACTCGTGGACCAGAGCTGGCTCAGCCGTCACCAGCGAAGGACCCTCTTGATTCTAGGGCTTGCTCTGGGGGAGTAAGGCCGCTGCGGACGCGCGCATACGTGCTTCTCTGGGACGCGTGCCTGGGGGCGCAGGCCCGCTCATAGGCTCGTCACAGGCAGAGTTCCTGAGAACCGGTCCGACGGTCCTCCTGTGGCCGGCATCCTGTCACAGTCCCAGCAAGGACGGATACGGGCCTGGGTGCTCCCCACCTTCCCCACCACACCGTGTAGATGCTGGTGTCTACTTCAGCGGCTTTAGGGGTGCGCTGGGATACCTTGTTGCAGTCCGATTTCTCACCGTGTGGCCTGGCCTGGCTCTGACCCAGGATGGCCCAGGGCGGGCCCGTCTGACTCAGGGCAGGGAGGCTGCAGTGTGGGCTTCCCTCCCTCCCCCAAGTCCAGGACACATCAGGATGAAACCCCACCATCCACACCCCCTCACGTGTGCCTCACGGACGTGTGCTGTCTCCCATCCACTTAGCTCCTGGTTCTCACAGCCCAGAGGGGACCAGTGGGCACTTGGCCTGAGGCCTGACACCCTCTGGCCTGTGGGTCACTGTCTCTGGCTCCCTGGGGGCCCCAGAGCTGGTGCTTAGAGGCCAGAAGTCTCCAGGTGAGGCAGGCAGAAGACATGACCTCTGGGCGGACACCTTGCTGTGTCGGGGGCCTGGGAAGAGCCATGCTAGCAGCTCCCAGGGCCAGCGTCCCCAGGCCTTGCCACAGGCTTCCTGGGGCCCAGGGTGTTCTGTGGCCTGGCCCTGGCCGATGTCTGAGGGGCCGCTTGCCAGGACCCAGTGCCCCAAGACACTTCGACCCGCTTGCCCCCAGCCCATGGGCTCTCTAACGGCACTGGCTCCACCGGAGAGAGACCTGGAGCTGGCTCTCCCTGTCCCTTGGCCACCAGCCTGGGAAACTCTTGGGACACAGGCTCCTAGTACCTCCTAGTACCTCGCCCTGGTCTCCATGTGGGCCAGGAAGGCTTGGGGCCCGGTGGGAGAACACCTCCTGGGGACCAGGGCATGTCTTCTTCCTACAATCACCCTCAAGTCTGGCTGAGAGTCCAGCTCTGAGGACAGTGGCTTCTCCCCAGGCTCCCCTGGTCCGCTGTGGTGCCCACAGGCGGCTGTGGCACGCTCTGCCCTGCGGGCCTCGGAGACCCACTTCCGGCCTCTAGCGCACACACTGTGGCTCTCTATGGAGCTTCTGGTCCTCTCCTGGGGGGCGTCCACGGGCCCTGGGGCTGGATTCCACGCACTCACTCATTCGGCAAATGAGGTGGCTGAGGGCCACCTGGCACAGACCCGGACAGCTAGTGACCCCTTCAGGGGACTCAAGCCTTGCCGCGCACCCAGGTCACAGACCACAGCACAGACACGTGATGCAGACACTTGACGTCATCATTTACTAAAGCGCTTACACCAGACACGATGGCGTTCTTTGTCCGGCGATCACCGTGGGCCTCGAGGGACCGAGAGCCTCAGCCCCAGGGCCAGCCCCTCTCCCAAATACAGGCGGCTCCCCCACCACTGGGACCCGAGGGAACGCACAGGGCAGGGAGGGTTCTGGGGGTCCTGGCTGCTGTGTGGTCAGCCCCCAGGCAGAGCCCCGCAGAGACGCTCCTCGCCCCGCAAGGGGCCCCGTGCGGGCCGGGCAGGAGGAGCTGAGGAGGCGGCGCCAGAGCGAATCAGACTCGGGATGGCCCTGGTGTGACTGGACAGAACTGGGGTCCGCGTGCGGGGCCGCCGCAGAGAGGGCACCTGTAGGCGGGCAGGGCTGGTGGTGGGTCCTGGGAGGGGCAGTCTACGTCCTTCCCTGGGGGGGTCCCCCGATGGCCAGGTGCGGCAGTCCGTACAGGACCAAGTTGAGGACGACGGACAGCCGTTCGGAGTCGCCGCGCCGCGGCAGGTGGGACAGCTGCTTGTCCCTGGAGGCCCACGGAGGCTCGCCTGAGGGAGAGTGGGGCAGCGCAGCTCACTGGGGCAGGGCTCGCCGCAGACAAGGGTGCTCCTGCCCCTGCCTCCAGCCGCAGCCCCACCTGGGCACCTGCCATGAGTCGACACCCACAGACACAGAGGCCCACAGGCAGTGGCACCCGGCCAGGGAGGGACCTCGCCAGGCCCTGGCCCACCTGCCCCTCCACACCACTCCCAGCCCTGTGGGCCAGGGGCCGGAAGGTCCTGCCCGCTCTGGGCCTCTCTGGCCACCAGCTGAAGACCACCCTGATGGCGGGGGGCCTGCGTGACAGCCAAGGTTTTGTCCCTTCCTTTCAGTGCACATCCACGTGGGACGACATAGGCCACGCGGGCGCCGTGGCTTCCCCTTCTTCTGTCCCCAAAGTGACTCCCTAGCAGCTCCTCACCCCACGGACTCCTCTTGCCGTCCCCCCCTCTTCAGGCACCGGCCAGTGCCAGGCCCTCCCTCCCTTCCTCCCACCCTCCCACAGGCGTTCGACAGCCTCTACTGTTTGGTGGACGAGTTCTGGGCACTGTGGACCACGTCACTTCTAAGTTTTCAGCTCCTTTTGCGCGGCGCGTTTTGAAGGTTTCATGCTCCCGCCCCAGAGAGCACGCCTGGCCTTCCAGAACGTGGGCACCTTGAGCCTTTCCAACGCCTGGTGTGTTTGGCCCTGAGGACCTGTGCTGCCGGCACTCACTGGGGAGGCTGTGCTCTCGGGCAGCACGTGCTGAGCCCCAGAAGTGGCCTGGAAGTGGCGGGCACCCCAGCCCTGCAGCGCCTCGGGGACGCTGGCTGGGAGGTGGCCCTGCACAGCCTGGGCAGCAGCGGGGACGGGGACGGGGGACAGCTTCCATTACCGTGGCTCCTCGAGTCACCAGCTCCCGTTCTCTGAAGGAGACGGACTGCTCTCCCGATCGGCCGGCCAACAGTCAGCATGTCTAGGAAGGAAACATCCCTCAGACTGGCTGGGGCACTGCTGGCAGCCTTCAAGAGAGGCCCACAGGGCTGGGGACGACCTGGGACACCCGCACCCACTCACTTTCCCACAGGATGCTGGCCCGCAGCGCGTTGTCCTGCAGGAATGTCGGCCACTGGTTTGCCAGGATGCTCCTGACCCCCACCAGACTCAGAAGGATGGTGGTCTTGATGGGGTCCTCCAAGGACAGCTGGGGCACACTGGGGGGGGATCGAGGTCCAGTGGGATGGCCTGAGCCAACCCCAGGCCACAGCCCAACTGGCACCAAGTATCAGACTGACAGCTCTTCAGATTCTTAAAAGACTCAAGAACCACATCCCCCCCTGGCCCCTGCCCGCTTGAAATGCCATTTAACAAAACAAGGTTTCCGGAGCTTCGGGACCCACACCCAGCCTTGCGGTGGAATCAGAAGACAAAGCATCATGGTGAGACGGGCCCTGGCTCAGCCACCTTGGCAGCCCACATAGGCCCTGGGGTGCGTGGGATGCGGGGAGCTTGGAAGCCAGGGCACCCTCCCAGCTGCCAGCCCTCTGCCCCCTGGCCCAGTCCCCACAGGCCTTGGTTTGCCGCTGGAGCTCCCCTCCCTCCTCCACTGCACACCCCCCCAACAAGACTCTTCCAGGAAAGAGACTGGGGGCAAATGGCTCCGCCCATTGGGACGCAGGGACACTCTGTCCCCCCCCCCCGGGAAGCACATTCATCAGTCGTAGGCCCTGGACACCCCCATTCAGTGTGTGGAGGCCAGGCTGCTGGCTCCAGCTGGCGTAGGGGGCCGGCAGACACCTCTTCTTCTCGGAGTTCTCCATATGCCGCTGCATGCTCTCGTAGGACCGCGTCAGGTCCAGCAGGACCATCATCTGGCACTCTGCGGGGCACAGGAGGGACAGTCCTGCAGTGGCACTCCCAGGAGCAAGAGGCCGGTGCGGCCCGGGGTGTTGCCCGGGGTGTGGGAGCCTCAGGGAAACGCAGCCCAATATGGCCGAGGCTCTGTCCTGACGTCCATACACCCTTTCCCAAGACCCACTGGCTGCACCAGCACACGGGGACATTCTCTGCCTCGGGAACCCCACACCCTTCCAGTCATCTCGTGCAACTGGCTCAGCTCCGGCTCCCCAGCCTGCCGGGGATGGTCTCAGGCTCACGGCAACACTCGGCCGTGGGCAAGCCGGGAGCCCCACGTGCACAGAGTTGACTCCCCGCTTCCTGCAGTGGCCTGAGGGCAGGCACCAGGATCAGCCTCAGTCGGGAACAGGGACTCCAGGAGCGCTGTTGCTCCCACAGGAGCCTGCTGGGCCTAAAAATTCCTCTGACCCCACACATCTGAGAAGGCCTTGTTTCTACCTCCACTTGGGGCAAGGAACGCGCCGCTGGCAGGCTTCCGGGGCTAGGCGGGCTTTTGCATGGCCCGTCTCCAGGGGGCTGAGAGGGAGCCAGACCGCAGATAATGATGTGAGGGTGTTCAGGTGCCCTGACCATGGGACACATGTCCACGTGCTTGTTGTGCTCTTGTCACTGGGCTACGTGCCTCTTGAGGGTCCCTGAAAAGGCTCTCCTAGCGACGATGTGGTGCGGCCGGTCAGCCCCTGCCTTGGGACAAGTTCACTCAAGAGCGAGCCAGACCGCCCACTCAGAAGTCCTCAGGGGGCAGCCAGAGGGACCACAAGGCCTCGAGTGCCCATGTTTACAGTGTGGGGGGGGGGTTCTGATCAGTGTGTTCTGGAAATGCCCACCGTAGCCCTCCCGGACTCTGCAGGCCCAGCTCTGCGGGTGACCCTCCCAGCTCCTGCCTCTGGCTGTACCGGCCAGGTCTGATATTCCGAACTGGGTCTCTGAGAAATGGAGGAGGGGGACGAGAGCAGGAGGGGACATCCCCCAGAGCCGCGTTGTGCTTGCCCGGGCCCCCTGAGCCCTTCTCCAGACAATGACCGATGGGGACACAGGGGCCTTGCTCTGTCCCTGAGTGGACGCGTCTCACGCAATTCGGGGGCTGCTGGGGGCCCCGAGGGACCGTCTCACCTCGTAGGTTCATGGCAGCCAAGCGCTCCACCAGGACGTGGGACAGGAAGCTCTCCATCCCGTAGAAGAAGAAGCCGCTGCAGCTGCCCAGGAGCTGCTCCCACTCGGCCTGGCTGCGGAGGGAAGCAGGGTGCCCGGCGGGTGGGGCCGGAGGCAGGCAGCGGGAGTCAGGGTGCCCCCGGGGCGCTGGGGCCCGGACCACATCTGGCCCTCAGCAGCAGGCCGGACCCACCCTCAGGACGTGCTCTGAAAGCACAGCCTGCCCTGCGCTCTTCACTCCCCGCCCCACCCCTGCCAGGGCAAGACTAACGCCCACCCTCCTGCAGCAGCGTCGACCGCCGTCCGGGGTTCTAGCCCCCGGTTCTCCCGAGAATGGGCCTCGGGTACCCGCAACGCTGTCTCCTCTCGCTGAGCAGTGGCTCTGGAAAGGGCTGGAAGGACTCTTCCCTGATGGCCAACCACCCCCAGGTTTCTGAGAGCACGCACGGGGAGCGTCCCCGCCCCCGGCAGGCCCCCCCCCCCCCGCAGGCCCCGCCCCTCCCGCAGGCCCCGCCCGCGTGCCCCCCTGCCCTTCTCCCGCAGGCCCCTCTGCAATGCTGTCCCTTCTCCACTCACAGGCCCCGCCCACTCGGGCCCCGCCCCACGGGCCCCGCCCTTCCCTCCCGCAGCCCCGCCCCACGGGCCCCGCCCTTCCCTCCCGCAGCCCCGCCCCATGGGTGCCCCACCTCCTCTCTCTCTCTCTCTCTCTCTCTCTCTCTCTCTCTCCCTCTCGCAGTCTACAGGCCGGCAGTCCGTCCCTCTCTAGCAGGTTCTCCCTCACACACACCCCTCCACCCCTCCCACCTCCCCACCCGCCTCTGCAAGTCTCAAGTCCGGGGAGCCAGGGGCACACCCTGCACTGGACTGGCTGGAGGACCCCGGGGCAGCCACACACTCCCAGGGGCCAGGTCCTCATCTGTGAAGCGGGGATGGGGACAGGGAGGCCTCCATGCAGGCGCCATGAGGACCAAGGAGCCTACTGTGTGATGAAGGAAGGCCAGACACTGGGATCCTCTGAGGATGGGGTGTGGGGGGGGTTGACAGGACAGAATGGGGGGGTCAGGGTTGCGGGGAGCCTGAGGGACGAGGGGTAGGCGGAGGACAGCAGTCCCTCCCACCCTGCGTGCAGCACCCCCCAGCCAGCTCACACGGACCTGCTGGCTGCGGACAGTGTCCCCAGACGCCCCGACACCAACCTGGGGACGTGCTTGCTTCCCAGATGCCCCACCCAGAACGCAGTGAGCGAGTCTCGGTATCTTTCCAAGATGTCCCGGGTGACGAAGACAGGAGTCAGCTTTTCTGCAGCAGGAATTGAACGGACACAAAACACAGGAGCTCGTCTCACAGGTGGGACTCTGAGGGGCGTGGGCAGCAGGCAGCCCCTGGCGTGGAGACACCAGACGTGCTGCAGTCGGTGTTTGGTGCTTGTGCAAATGCCCGTGCTCCCTCCCTCCTTTGTAAAGAGATTTTACACTTGATCTTGGCCAAAAGGCCGAGAAGTGATGGAAAGAAATGTTAAAAACCCGTTTAGAGGGGCGCCTGGGTGGCTCAGTGGGTTAAAGCCTCTGCCTTCGGCTCAGGTCATGATCCTAGGGCCCTGGGATCGAATCCCACATCAGGATCTCTGCTCAGCGGGGAACCTGCTTCCCCCTCTGCCTGCTTGTGATCTCTGTCAAATAAATAAATAAAATATTCAAAATAAAAAAATAAAAAAAATAAAAACCCATTTAGAAAAGAACCACAGGAATTAGACACTTAGGCTGCGGAGGGTGGGGGGGTGACCGGCTCTGGGAAGGGGGCAGCGTACCTCACTTCAGGGTTCACTTTTCCTACCATATCGTCCTGACTTGGCTGTGATGGCCACAGGCCACAGGACCCCACTGCCCCCACCTCCTGTGGTCCGTGGAACGGGAGGCAGCCGGGGGCAGAGCACGGAGGGTGGCATGTGGCGTGTGTGTGCACGTGTGTGCGCGTCGAGGGCCCGTGGGAGGCGCTCACCGATGCCCCGCGCCTCCTCGTAGGGGTCCACGACGACTAGGTCTGGGTTAAGGAGAAACAGTGCTCGCCCCAGGGTGTCCCGGGCAGCGGGGGCCATAAAGGATACACTTGAAGTTGTCGGCGTCGACAACGATGCAGTCATGGGGGAGGTGCCGGGGCGGGGCGTCCTGCACCAGAGACAAGGGTCGTTGGGGACCTGGGTCCTGCGGTGGGGGCCCCGCCCCCCGCGCCCACCTGCCACCTTCTGTCCCTTCTTCGCGGGGCTCCTCTTCCTGCCTCGGCCCTCCTTCCTCACGGCCCCCTCGGCTGTGGACAGCAGAAGAAGGGGGTGTTTGGGGCTGGCACGGGCGGTGGCACCAGCATTCTGAACACACAAAATGCCCCTGAACGGTTCACTTTAAAATGGTTAATTTTTTCACCTTAATAGAAAAATGCATAAAGTGTTGAGAACAACTGGCTTTCAGGTTTGTAAAGCCGGGAGAGCTGGAGTTTCTGAACCGTGAAGGCGCGAGGCCCGGGGCAGAACAGTCACCGGAGGCCCCGCGGCCGGCCTGGCTGTCCGTTCGCCCGGCGCGCCCGCGGCGGCTCAGTCAGAGGCCCCGGGCCCAGCGGCTCCTGTGCCTGCCGCGGGCGGACGTGCACGTCTCTGTTCCAGCGGCTGCCGGCTTCTGCGGCAGAAACGTGGTCGGCCCAAAACCCAGGACAGTTCCCTTCCCTTCTTTCCGCCCCCGCCGCTCCTTTCTGCCGGGGCAGCTCCCTGGCTGTGCCGTCCGCCCCGGGTCTGCACGGGCTTCCCCGGGGCGCGGGTGTTCCGTGTGTCCCGCTCGGAGAACGTCTGTCACGAAGCACACATGGACCCGCTGCTCTCTTCCTGCAGCGACGGCCCCGCGTAGACATCGCTTTCCCATAACCCGATGTGACGACCCCTGTGAGCTCTTGAGGGCAGGCTGGGCGACGCGAGTTCTGTTTTTCTTTCTTGTGCTGCTCTTGGCCATTTGGGTGTTGGGGGCCGACAGAAGCCTCGGACGGGTTGTCCCCTTTCCCTCCTCTCAGGGAGGTCTGTTGAGACTCATGTGAACTGTTTCTGGAAAGTCTGATGATCTCAAAGGAGCAGCTCTGTCCTCTCCTTTCCGGGCTGGTTCCGGGAACGCGGGCTTTTCCCTCTCGAGTCTGGGAGCTGTTTTTCCACAGGACTTGGTCCACTTTGCCTCAGGGTTCGACTACGCTGTCCTCAGGCCTCTTAGGATCTCTTAAGTCTCTGATGCATCTTTGAGTTGGTGTCTTTTCATTCCTAACTTTGTGTATTTGTGCCCCATCCGCTTTTTTTCTTGGTCATTCTTACCACAATGTGTCTCTTTTACGAGTTTTTAAAAAATTTTTAATTTCCAGATGCCTGGGGGGGCTCAGTTGTTAAGCATCTGCCCTCGGCTCACATCGTGATCCCGGGGTCCTGCCCTGGGCGTGGGCCGCTCCTCGATTCAGATGCTGTACTGGGATCCTGGGATCGCGTCCCGCATCGGGCTCCCCGCTCAGTGGGGAGTCTGCTTCTCCCTCTCCCTCCCCCCACCGGTGCTCTCTCCCTCTCTGTCAAATAAATAAATAATGTATTTTAAAAATGCAAATTGTTTTCTGTTTTGTTGTTGTCTGCTCACGCGCTATTATTGCACGCGCTCCCCTGCTCTCTTGGGGTTTTTCTCCCGTTTCATTTGCCGTCCTTGCTCCAGCTGCGGGAAGCCGGGGCTCAGCCCGCGCACCTCCAGCCCCCCCTGCTCTGACACAAACGTCCGGAGCTGCGAGGCCCTTCGCACCTGCTGCTCTAACACCGGTCTCGGGCTTCCTGTGGTCACGTCTCCTGAGTCCCGGGAGACCTGCGGAAGCCGGTTTCCAAGTTTGCACACGCATCGGCCTCCTGGTCATGGCTTCTGTCCTGAGGCGGCGGTGACGGGGCTGATGTACGCCACGGTCCGGGCAGACGGAGAACGTCCCAGTTGCTGCGTGAGCCTGTGTCTGTCTGTCCAGGCCTGGCTCAGACTCTCCGCGCTTCCCCGTTTGTGCGGCCGGCCGGACGTGCGGGTGAGTGCGGTCCACCTCAGCGGGCCTGGCCGCCCGTCCTGCCCTGGCGTGGGCTGCTCCCTGCTTCAGATGCTGTGGGGCGCAGAGAGTTTATCCTGCTGGTGACCCGACCTTTGTCACCCGGGAATGAGCCCAGCCCTGACCGTGCACCTGCGGTCAGTCTGTTTTGCACGACGGCCTCGTCACGCGCGCGGTCACGGAGCTGGCTGGTGTGGCCACGTGCTTGCTTCTGACCCGCGTGGACTCATTCCCACCACGTTGCCCTTTGATTTTTATTCTTCCCACTCGTCCTCTCGCTGGCCGCTGGCCGCTGGCCGCTCCGGCAAGGTGTCCGCAGCGTTTGTTCTCCCGCCGATTTCCTCTGTGGGTCTGGAGTCCAGACACCAGTTCTGTTTCTGGTGTTTCTCCTGAAAGACCTACCAGGAGCGTTTCACCCTCAAACATGCCTGTGGCTAGAGCAGCTCCTGGCCTCAAGGTGTGCAGGGCCCTGGCACTCAGCGCTCGGCAACGCGTGCAGAGCCTGAGCTCACACTTGGCCGGCATTTCCCGTGGCTGCCGCAACAAATTACCCCACACGTGTGGGGTCTCACAGACCTGGAGGTCAGGGTCGAACGGGGTCCCCCCTGGGCAACAATCAGGGTGTGGGTGAGGCACTGGGGAGAATCGGGTTTGGTCTCCTGCAGCCTCTGGTGGCCACGGCGGGGCCTCCCCGTCCTCAGAGGCAGCAGCCCGGCCTCCTCCGGAGTCTCCGTGACCCTCCTGCCTCCGTCTTGGGAGGAGCCGGAGCTATCCTCGGGCCTCCCGGCTCATCCAGGACACTCTCCTGTGTCAGCTCCGTCCCCGGGTCCCACTCCCAGATTCCAGCAAGCAGGGTGTGCACACGTCCAGGCCACCACTCCTCCCGCCACCCCGGGGTGGCTCTTCTCTGCCGCTGCCACCGACCCTGGCCACGCAGAGCCGAGGAGAAAGGACACTCCCGTCGAGGGTGCTCGCGCGGGGAGAAGGGGAGCCGCACCTCCCGCTGTGGGGCAGGGAAAACAGATGTACTTATGCGGCGTCATGGGAAAGTAGCTTCATGGCCGTGAGGTAAGAAAACAAGTTTTAAAAAAGAGCCAAAGCCCCAGCAAGTGAGAAGAAGATTGATACTTTGGCTCTATTAGAACACCGTGCTGGAAAGGGACCACATAGGCCCGTGAAGGGACAAGCTACAGAGTGGGAGGTGGCCTCTGTCCCTCACTTAAATGAGAAGATCCAGATGGAACCTATGGAACCCCACAAACCGAAAAGAACAAAAACCAGAAAACTGGCAAAACTTGGCCCTAGACACAGACACGAGCAAGTCTACAACGTAGCCCGGAACGTGGGGCGGCACGTTGCCATCCTGCTGTTTGAGGGGGTCTCCCCGCGAGCTCGCCCACAGAGGGCCCTCCCTGCTGGTCACGGCTGAAACCGTCCGAGGAGGGCGTGTGTGCCGCTGTCCGTCTCCCCCCGACCCCTCTGCTTTTTGTGCCGCTCTCCCTCTTTTCCTGCCTTTTTTCCACATTCTCCTGAGCTTTGTGCTCCCCTCGCCTTCACGGTGTGTGGGGGACAGGAGGCTGTCGCTCACCACCGGGCTATCTCTGTTGGAAGCTGGGGCCTCTCCTGCCCTCGCTTCCGCGTGGCCCGTGGCTGCTGCTGAGTTCTCGTCCCTCTGAACACGTTCCCTGGACTCTCCTCTCCGCTTCCTCTGTCTGGGGTTTATGGAAACTTCTGGACACATGGGCTTATGGCTTTCATCAGATCAGGGTGGGAGGGACACTGGCCATTACTAATTCCTGTGTCCTCCTCCGAGGGCTCCTGACGCCAGGTGGTCAGCTCCTCTGGGCGCACGGCCCGTCCTCCGTGGGTCGGCCGTGTTCTCAGGGACCGGGCTCCACGCGGCCTGTCCTCCGCTGTCCGAAACCCACGCTCTACCTATTCTGGTCTTCACTTGTCCCGCTGGAGGGCAAATCCGGTCCCTGTTACCTCCTCCTGATGGAAGCCAAAGTCCAAGCTAGTTGTCTTTAACCGAGCCACTGCCCGCACAGAGCACAGGCGTCCGGCACTGGGCACGTGGGTGCAAACAGCCCCCGGGACACACACGGTCAGCCCGAGTGCGCGGCTGCCCCCCGCCTGAGTGCCCTCCGTCCTCCTGGTCCCCTCCCTCACTGCCTCTCACCACCTAGGAAAGGAGGAGCCCTGTGGTGGGTCACACCCATCCCCGCCTTTGAACAGAGCTTTGTGAGGCAAGAACAATGTGTTGTGTCCCCTTCAGGCTTTAGCCCCTCGCGGACACTGGGCGCACGGCAGGGGCTCTCTGACCACCTCCGAGCAGACAAGGGCCTGGAAAAGAGCGGGACAAGCGGCGTCTGACAGGAGCGCACGCGAGGTACTTCAGACGGGCCCGGACGAAGGGTCAGTGTGAGCGTGGCCCGGGGCGCCCCTTACCTGTCTCCTCCTTACGGAGGCGGTTGCACAACATCTGCAGGGAGAAGTCTCGGGACAGAGTGGAGACCGTCCCCTCCTCGAACACGGGAAGACCTTCCAGCGGCAGCTCCAGAAGATGCTTGTCCACAATGAGGACGACGTTGTCTGCAGCGTCGAGCTGAACTGTAGACCGGGGGGGGACACCGGCTACAAAAGCAGCAGGAGACACGCTCCCACGGATGGGCAAACCCCTGGTGGGTCTGTCTGGGTCCGTCTGTCCGCGGGCAGCTGCTGGATCGCACACACAGGAAGAAGTCTGGGCTGGGCTTGGCACGTGAAGAGTGGGGCCTGGGGCGCGCCAGGACTCTCTGGGAGGATGGACGCTGGTTCAGGCTGAGTCACAGTTCAGACCCAGGCAGGGCCCATGTCACAGGGCCACCGGGTCCTCTGTGTTTCGAGGACCTGCCCCCACTGGGGCAGCCAGTTGTCATGACTCCTGCCAACCTCGGAGCCCCCCTTTCAAAGAATGAAGACATAAGCTAAAGGACTTGCACCCCACGATATGGCAGGCTCTCCAGGGGCCATGCAGCCCTTGGAGCAGCTATCGGACCCGCCTGGCCTGGGAGGAAACGTGCTCTTTGTGGCAGGGGTAAGGGAACAAGGGACCAGGCCGCTACACCGGGACTGGATTCACTGTACACAAAGTAAAAGCAAATCACTTCAAAGTGATCAAAGGCCTTCGTCTGGGGAATTTTTAGGGCAGAATCTCGCTCATGAAAGTGATCTCAGGTGGGCAAACTCTGGCCCCTCACCCTCAGGGCCGGCCCCAGGGGGCCGGTGCCCTGGCGTGGGAGCTGGAGCAGCCATGTCTGGGGCGTGCGGCTGACCCGAAGCCACCGCCAGGCGCTTTTGGGAATGAAAACACCCTCGGACAGAGCAGCCTGCCCGGCCCTTCTGCTGAATAATTCCGTGCGGGCGACAGAAAATCAACCGATGAAAGTGCCCTTGAGAAAGTGGTTTATAAAATGGCAGGTGCCGGGTTGAGGGGCGAACCCGCTCGGACAGGCCACAGCCCAGCAGCGGCGGCGCCGGGCACATCCACCCTTCCTTCAAGGTCAGCGGGCCGCGCACACCGAAGCTCTCTGCCCCTCGCGTCCTCTGGGGTGCGCACCCTCAGGACGGGGGCGGGCCGCGGGGCAGCAAACAAACAGCACACGCGGTCACTGCCACGAGCACCCCAGGCTGCCACTTCCCCAGGAAGAACACACCAGGATCGGCGGGGCTGTCGGCAGAGGCCCCAAGCCCCCACACGGGGACCTCCCACCTCTCTGGGAGCCCCTCTGGGGAGGCCTGTTCCCATTCCGCCTGGGCTCCCCCAGAGGGACGGGCAAATCCCAGCCCAAGTTCTCCAGCAGAAGCTCGCCTCAGGCCCCCACTCACCATGGGACAGGGACACTTTCCTTTCCTTGTCTTTGCCCTTTGATTTCCCGTGGGAATCTGCAGCGGCCGTGGGAATCTGTGTTCTGGAAGTCAAAGGCATGTCCTCAAGTTCTTACAAACATGTAAACATCACACATACGAAGAATAGGAGGGACATCAGGGCAGTGAGTGCCACGAGGCCCTTTCCGTGGCTCGCTCTCGGGGACCGGTCTCCCTGCGCTGGGGGCCGGCGATAACGGCACACGCAGGAACAAACGGGGCTCAAGGTTGTCTCCGACTTCCTGGCAAGTCTCAAAACTACCACGTACCCAAGCCCTCCAACTCCTTCTCTACCGAGCCTGAATCACAGGGACTCGGGACCTGGGCCGCGCCCCCCACCGCCCCTGCCGGCAGCAGCAGAGGGGGCCAGAATGGCCAGGACGTGCCCCCAGAGAAGACTTGGAGCAGCACGAGGGCTTGATCCCGACGACAGAGGGTCCCAAGTCGGGCGTTGTGGATGCGAATTCCACACAGCCTGACTCAGCTTCACGGCGTTTGGGGCTTGGACGTCCACGTAACAGCGTCCCCATCCCACAGCCGGCTCCTTCCAGGATTCAGGGAGGCAGCAGAGGGGGCCTGCAGGCTGCGCCCCCCCCCAATCCTGTCCGCCCCGGCTCCCAGGCACCCTATCCCTGACTGCTCCCAGCATTTCAAGGCCCTGCTGGGGACAGAGAGATGGTGACCCTCCTGTCTGTCCCAAGAAGGATGCCAACTTGGGGCCCGAAGCCCACCCCCAACCAGGAGATGTGGCCGGTCCCTCCCTCATCCCCCGCAGACTCTGCCCTCGGAGCTGGCAGCCCACAGCAGGCACCTGGCCTCAGGGCAGCTGAGCACTGGGAACAGCGGCCTCAGGTAATCCTCCATGGACGCAAGGATGTCACTGAATCGCTGCAGAGACCGTCCTTCCCTTTCCGGGCGCGCACTTTCCAATTCCTGTGCCAACCCAGACGTCACCCCGGGATCAGGAGCGTCTGAGGGCGGGGGGGGGGCTCATAACCCCCCACCCGGGTAGAGCAAAGAGTGGGAAGGGCCCCGCGGAGTCCTCAAACCTGCCCTCCCCCCCCAAAACCTGGGATCCCTGCACCCCCCGCCTGCTCCACCACCAGGGCCCACCCGAGCCCCCGCAGACCGTGCTCCTCGCCGCCTCTGCCTGCCGGCTCCTCCGCGAGGCCCCCCGCCCCCCGCGCCCCACCTGGCGGTGTCTCTGCTGACACCGGGAGGAAGCCAAGCTCAAGGATTTCGAGAACCGGCTACGTGTGGGAACCTCCACCTGGGCGTCCATCAGTGCCCAGGGTCTGGATGGCGGGTGCCACTCACCGAGCCCTCCCTGCCCCACCCTGCTGCAGCCGGACCGGGACCGGCCCCCTGCACTGTGGCCGCGGCTCCCTGGGAGTTGGGCTTAGGGGCCTCACCAAGCCTGAGCTGGGGGCCGGGTCTTCATTGTTGACCTCGGCCATCTCCCTGCACTGCTGGGCACTGGCCAATAGGCAGGAGAGGGTGTCTGGATTCACGGCCACCCGTGCCACCTTGCAGGAGCCTGTGGAGAGCGACACCCTTCCTGTCCCCACCCCACGTCCTAACAGACCGCCCCCTGGGGGTGTGCATGGGCACGGGGAGTGGGAAGCGTGAGCAGAGGGCGGGCATGGGGCTTCTCCACGTGGGAAGAAGGTCCCGGCTGTGGACACAGCTGGCTCTGGGACGCTCAGGAGGGCTGGTAGAAGCGGGGACACAGACAGATGTCTCCGTTCCACAGCCTCCACCGCTTTACATGAAATGTTAAGTGGAATTATATGCCTGAGATGTAAGGAAGAAAGTGGGAATGTAGTGTTTTTTGGGAGAAGAAATCCTGGAGCGGGGGAGGGGACAGCTGGTCCATATCTGTGCGTCACTGGCCCCAAAGGCTGCGGGGGTCCAGGAAGCACACACCCCACCTCCTTCCTGGTCTCTCATGGGCTCAACAACCCCATGCAAGCACAGGGAGGGCTGGGCCCCAAGTGTGGGTCGTGGACCTGCCCGCAGCACATGTCCCCGGGCCATGTGCGCACCCCCGGGGCTGCAGATGAGGCCTGTGGCAGAACTTACCTCCCGCTTGGAGCAACTTCCCTTTGGCTGCGGGAACGGGCCTGGGTCTCTCATAGGCAGCGCAGTACAGATGCGTCCTGTGGGCAGGACGCAGGGCGGGGTCACCAGACCGTGGGGTCCCAGACGAGCCCCAGAGATGCAGACTCAGTGAACCGCATGCCTCCATCCTGGCCGGAGCCCCTCCCCAGGATCGCCGTGGCCACGTCGGGAGCCAGAACTGACATAGGCCCATCCGGGCTGCGCCCGGGGAGCCCTCTGCTCCACGGTGAGGGCGGCCGGCAGCGTCACTCGGGCGCCATGCTGTGGACAGCAGGTGCCAGCTGGCCTGGCCCAGGGGCGTGCTGCCCCACCCATCTCAGCTGGGAGCCTCGGCCAGCCCGGGGGCCTTCGGTCCACCCCACATGCCCTCCAGCCTGGCAGCCCCGGTGCTGGGTTCCACCGCGCTGCCTGACGCGCTAGCAGGGTGGGGAGCGGCTCCAGAGCGGGGCGGGAAGGCGCACCTGTCCGGCGAGTGCTGCAGAGTGAGGACCCGAAAGCTGGGCGGGATTTCGTTCAGGAGGGTCAAGTGCTGCTCCGTGACCCTGAGATTCTGCCAAGCCTGTGGGTGACCGACAGCAATCACTGACCGCACCGGTGCAGGCCCCTCGCCGAGAAGTCCGAGAAGTCCGCAGAGGCTTTGTGCAGGGGGTGGGGTGCTCAGACCGGGTGCCCCGTAGCCCGGCTGGGGCGCGACCCCTGCAGGACTCGCGGCCGCCACAAGGGGGCAGACGGCGCGCGAGGAATCCCGCGGGATCCCCCTGGGTCTCCCGCACAAAGCTGACCTGCGGGCGCCAGCGGAGCCTGAGAACCCCAGCACGTAGCAGCGGGAAGCCTGTCCGGCCAGCTCGCGCCCCCCCCCCCGCCCTCTGCCCGTGCCCCGAGCGCCACAGGCGACACGACACGCGCGCGACCCCTGCCTTCTGCGCCGTGGCCCCGCAGCCCTCCCGGAGCAGCCACCGTGCCCCCAAGCACCGCTCCCCACTTGCTGATGAAACCAGCTTTGCGTTTGCAAGTGCGCGGGGCGCGGGTGTCCTCGCCCAAAACCCTCAGCGGGCGGCGCCCTTCAGCGCGGATGAGGAGCCGGGAGTCGCAGGCGCAGAGTCCTGGGCTGTCCGTGGGCGCCCGTGGCCTGTGTCCACTCCGGGCCATGTCTGCTTTGGCCGAAGCCACTGGACGGGCCCTGGGGACCGGGGAGCACCTGTGCCGGGGGCAGGCCGCCCGCCGGGGTGCCGAGGCTCTTCCGTCCCTGTGCCCGCTGGTGCCGCCGCACCTGCCCGAGGCAGCTGTCCGGGTGGTCCGGCCGTGACTGAAGCCGCCTTCCTCTGGGCACTTCCCCGGGAACTGATGAAGCTGGGCGCCGTTGGGAACGTTTACGGACCTTTTGCTATCTTTTGTGTCATTCCCGTCTGTGGGAGCGTCTGTCTTCCTCTCATTGAAGGGAGCACGGAGCACGGGCTTCGACAGTCTCCTCGGGGGTTCGCTCATTCTTTAGGTTTTTATTTTAACTGCTACGGCTGACACAGTGTTGTACTAGTCTCAGGTGCACAGCATCATGATCCAACACTTGCACACGTCTCCCGAGCTCAGCACAAGGGCACGCCTCCATCCCGTCTCCTAACCGTCCCCCCCACTCTCCGCTGGTGATCATCAGCCCATTCTTTAGAGTTAACAGTCTGTCCCTTGGCTTGTCTTTTTCTGTCGGGTCATTTTGTTTCTTAAATTCCACATATGGGTGAAATCATATGGTATCTGTTTTTCTCTGACTTCCTTTGCTTAGCACAATTCTGTCTAGCCCCATCCTTGTCATTGTACATGGCGAGATTTCATTCTTACGGCTTAATACTTCTCCACTGTATACACAGACCCTCTCTCCTTTCTCCATTCATCAGTCAGGGGACACTTGGGCGGCTTCCATATCTCGTCTACTGTAAATAATGCTGCTCTGAACATCGGGGTTCATGTGTCCCTTTGAATTGGTGTTTCCGTATTTCTTGGGTAAATACCCCATTGTGCAAGCCCTGGGTCATACGGAAGTGGTATTTGCAGTTCGTCTGCGGGACCTCCATACAGTTTTCCAGGGTGGCCACCAGCTTGCATTCCACCAGCAGCATAATAAGAAGGTCCCCCTTCTCCACATCCTCACCAAGTGGGCTGGGATTTTTCTTTGCAGGGTTTTTAATAAAAGATTCAATTTCTTTAACAGATAATGAATTACTCAGAGTTTCTGTTCTATCAGCTTTGGTAATTTGTATTTTTTGAGAAATTTCTCTATTCCCTCCAGATTGTCAAACTTTGCTGGAGTTTGGTTATATAGAATATTTCCTAATGGCTTTGGGAAGTCTGAAGGTGCTCCGTGAGGTCTTTTTATCACTGATAGTGGAATTTTGGGTTTTCTTTCTTTCTCTCTTTTTCAGATCTTCTAAATGTTCATCAATTTCATTAGTCTTCTCTTTGGAACCCTTCTACCACTGCTGGTGTCCTCTACCATTTTAATTCCATTGTTTCTATTGTAGTTCTTACTACCCTTTATTTTTCTTAGAGGTGTTCTTATTCTAGCTTCTAGAAGTCAAAACCTAAATTACTGTTTGTAAGATTTTCTCCCTGTATTCAAGGCTGTATTTTTCCTCTAAGCCCTGCTTTAGATAAGTCTCCTAGGTTTTGACATATGATATTTTCATTCTCTAAGTCAGCTTAAAATATTTCCTAAATTTCATTGTGATTTCTCCTTTGACTGATTGATGATGGTAAGGATATTGTTAATTTCAAATTAATTGTATCTTTCAGTTGTTGCTTTCTAATTTAATTGCACTGTGGCAGGACGACAAAGGGAACAATTTCCCTCGTTTGGAGAGTGTTCAGGCTTTGCTGTGGCCAGCACTGGTCCATAGCGCACACACTCCCTGCAAGCTTGGAAAGAAGAGACCCCAGTCATAGTCAGCGCTGGGCTCAGGGGAGGTCTCTGTGAATGGCCGGGCAGACCCGCATGCGAACGGCTCTCCTACACGTCCCTGCATGCTTACTGATCTCTATAGGGTCTGTGGCTTCCACGGGAAACCGAGGCGGTGTGGATGTCCTGTCCAGCAATCCTTTATTCCCGTCACTTCTGTTTCGTGCCTGTGAAGCTTGATGATGGTACGTACAGACCAAGAACGCGGATTCCCTGACTGGTCCTCAGGTCACCTGGCTTTCATCGGACGAGTATCTTCATGACTTAGATACTATCTCTCAGCTTTTCCTTCTGACATTTCTGTGTCCTTATATGTGAAGCATGTCTCTCTTAAGGGGCATATAATTCAATTTTGTTTTTCTTCTCAGCCAACCTGACAATCTTGGTTTTTAACCTATAGGGTTTGCTTGATTTACATTTATTGTAATTCTATATTTATATTTGGGTTTCTAACTGCTTTCTTCCTGCTTTTTTCCTACTGGGACCGTTACGTTTTTATATTCTCTCCCTCCACTCTTTTTGCCTGTCTTTGGAATAATAAAATGCTACCATTTGATTTTTCTCTTTTTACTACCTTACTTACACATTATTCTAGTGGTTACCCTAGGGACCATGACATTCATCTTTGGCTTACTGTGATCTAATAAAAATGTAATTTTAACCTTCCCTAGGAGTGACAGAACCCATACTTTGTAAGCTCTAATCCTTCCTGCTTTTTGTATCATCTTCCACAAAATAAGCTCAATTCCACAAGGTGTTAAAATGACGGTTTTACACTCTTAGAATTTATTTCCTTGCACCTGTTTGCTCTGTGCTTTTCCTAGCTGTCTCATGCACTCACTGTTTCTGCCTGGCGCCTCCCCCAGCTTCTTGCGCTGCAGGCCACCTGGTGGTCCACACCCTCAGTGTGTGGACCACCAGGAGCATCTAAACGTGTCTCTGGGCGGCCGTGGTGGGTAGCAGTCTCCTGGACACTCGCAGGCGCCCATGGCTGCTTGCTGGCTGTCCTCGCGGTGTCTGTCCCAGGCTTGTGGGGCACTGCCGCTTTCTCATGTTTCTCCTGTGTGGGGAGGCCAGTGCTCCTGAGCCTTTGGCCTCTTGAGTCTGGGGAAACTGCAGCCATCGTGTTGTGTCACTGTTGTCTCAGCTCCATGTCATGCTCTCCTGGCCCTGGGAGACAGGTTCAGCGGGCACTCGGGCTCATGCTCTCTGAGGAGCCCTCATGTGCTGTCTCTCCAGACCCAGTGTCCTTGAGGCCACCTCCTCCCAGGATGGTCCTTATTTTCCAGGTGCCATGAGAACCACGAGGAATCTCACCGCCATCCACGAGCTTTCAGGCCAACTCCCCAAAGCCCAGGACGTAGTTGCAGTCCCTAGGTGGGTTGTCACAGGCCAGCTGCGTGTCCCAGCATGTCACGCGGCGGGGGGGGGGCAGTGCGGACAGGACACTGTGGACAGCTTCCCCTCTCAGAGGCTATAGTTCGACCTGCACCCCCCATCCACAGCAGAGGCTTTAATGAAAGCACTTTCTGCTGGTCGCCGGGCTCCTGCCGTGCCTGCCTGTGGGGGCCTGGCTGTGGTCTGCGCCCCCACCCCCATGGGCAGCTGACCCCCAAGTCCGTGACTGGTCTGTGCCCCCGACTGAGTCAACACAGGTCTTCCACAAGGATCCTCTTGAAACAGCAGGAGGCAGCGGAGCCATCACAACACCCGGGATGGAGTTGGCCGCAGACCCGTCCTGCTGCTGACCCACCCCTGAGGCCCCCGGCATCCGGCCTCAACCTCAGCACTGCACGTGCCTCCGTGTGTCTGGTCCCTCAATTTCCCTAGGAGATGAGTGCTGGGCTAGACCCACCCCAACTTCAGTGGACACACATGGATGTGTCCTCCAAGAGTGGGGGCCTGGGCTGTGCTGCTTCTCCTGGTGGCCTGGCCTGCTCGTCCCCACGCCTGTGACAGCCTGCACAGCTCTTCAGTGCACTGGTCTCAGCTGGGGGTGATTCTGGGGACCTGAGAGTGGTCGCAGCTGGGGCGGGGCCACCAGCATGTGGAGAGTACCCACGGTGCCCGGGACGCTCCTCCACAGCCCGACCCCAAGCATCAGAGGGAGGAGAGCAGCCCTGGAGGAAGGGCTGAGGTCAGACGCACACAGGTGCGCCCAGAGAAGCAGTGGGGAGCAGGGGATCCCTCAGAGCGTCCAGGCTGCCGTCCTGATCCACTGCATTTCATCGAGGTCCGTTTCTCTAAACACTCCTGCTCACACCTGCTCCTCCAAGCAAAGGAGGACGTGCTAGTGTCCACGGCGTTCTGCTGTGCCTGAAGGAAGTGCGTCCCCTCCCGAAGACCTTCAGGGGCCCTGTGCCCCCCTGACCTGCTGCAGGCCTGGGCACTTATGGTCACCAGGAGGCCTTCGAGGGGGCGGAGGTCAGGGAGGGCGAGGGACACCCCCAGAACCACACAGCTGGCAAGAGGCCGCGCTGGCGCTATCTTCAGGCTGGTGACACGGTGGCGCCGGAGGGCTGCGTGGCCAGGGCAGGCGTGGACGCTCGCCGCTCACCTTGGAGATGACTTCCAGCCTCTGCTCCACACTCGCAGACAAGCTGGTGGACGTCCTCCCCTTCTGCCTCAGCTGGTGCTCGAGGTGCAGGAGGGCTGCCAGCTGCGAGCTGCCGGTGTGGGCCGTGGCCGTGGCCAGGACGTCCCGCATCATCTCCGAAGCCAAGCAGCTCTGAAGCAGACACAGGACGGGGCTAAGAGGCTGAGCCCTGCCAGGGCCTATGGGCGCCCCTGTTGTGGGGGGGGAGGAGGGGGTGGCCAGGGGCTGCTCAGTGTGTCGCGGCACAGCTTCTCGGATGCCGTGCTTCTCCTGGCCACTGGCTGCCACCAGGCCTTGCCCCCGGGTGCCCCGGCACCTGCCCACTTCTCTGCTCTGAGCCTCAAGAGCATGAGGCTTGGTGGACCCACAGGCTGTCAGTAACGGGGATGGGCCAGGGGACCCTCCGGAGCATAAGGCAGCCCTCCCTACTTCCTCCGGAGGCGTCCCCTTCCAGCCGAGCGCCACACTCCCGAGGCAGGGAGGCCAGCCGCGGCCCGGCTGGCCAGCCCACCAGTAGGAGCGAGTGCCGGGTGCTCCGGGATCGCCCCCTTCCCAGGGGCCGGGAAAGGCCTTAGGCAGGGGCGCTGAGCAGACCACACCTGAGAAAGCGCCAGGAACTGGCAGGTGACCGCGGGGTCCAGGGCGCCGCTACACTCCACCATGTCCAGGCTGGCGGCAGCGGCGATGTCCAGGCGGCGGCTGCGCAGCGCCACCTGGAGGCACTGCAGCAACAGCTCGGAGGCCTGGGCCAGGAACCGCTGGGCCAGCGCCACCCTCTGTGGGGCACAGGGCTCGGGGTCAGGGGGCGCTGCGGGCCCGGAATCACGGGGTGGGGGTGAGCGGCCGTACCTGCTGGTCTGAGCCCTTCCTGCCGTGCTCCTCGGAGTGACCCCGGCCGACCCCATCCTCGGGGGTGGTCTCCAGATGCTTAGGGCCGCTCAGCTCAGCGGCGGCCTAGGGAGAAGGCACCTCCTATCAGCCAGCGCCCGTCCCACCGCCGAGCCTGGGTGGGCCTGTCGCACTTGGGGCGTCTCCGTGGGACCCCTCGGTGAGATGTGCTGCAGGTAGCGGTCAGGCCTCTCGCCAACCTGGACCCCCGAGGCCCTGGCCCAGAACCCCCAGCGGCGGGCAGGTGCAGCGTGTGTGGGGAAGCAGCTCTAGAGAAGCAAGGCCGAGTGTCCCCGGTCTCAGAACCACCGAATTCTGTGCTTACTTTCCCTCAGTCCTTCAAAATCACCTCCCCAGGTACGGACAGCGGCCAGCACCGTGCAGCCCGGACTGAGCACGTCAGGTGCCCGCCCGCCCCAGGGACGGCAGGACCAGCCACGCGGACGAGGTCCTCCGGAGGGCCAGGGGACTCTGCTGGGGGGCGGCAGCAGGCACAGGGGAGCCCCTGGGTCTGTGCGGTCACGGCTGGGAGCAGCAGGGGAAAGCCTGGCTGGGGGCCGGGGCCGGGGCCGGTGCTGCGGGGGCACACTTCTTGGAAGCCGCTTGTGTGTGTTTCCCTGATGGCCTCTGAGAGGGAGCGTCGCCAGTGCCGTTCCATAGGCAAGGACCCCGGTCCCTCCTGCCTCGGAGCCGCCGGTGCAGGTGCTCAAGGGACACGGACGGAGGGAGGGGCAGGAGCTCCGTCATGTCATTCGCGTGTGGGCCCAGTCCCAGGTCCTGGGATCCAGACCCTTGAGGTATCAGGAGCGGCGCTCACACAGGGGTATGGGGCCCTGCTGCTTGGGGCTGGGGTCTTCCTAAAAGAGTGGAGTCCAGGGGACGAGCCTGACTTTGCCTCTGAGCAGGTGCCCTCCAGACAGAAGAATACACTTAGGACGGTGGCCAGCAGGGTCTACAGCCTTCCTTCCTGGCTGCGGAGCTGCCCCGCGACCACCAGGCCTGCCTGGGCAGCCTTGCAGGGGGCTCCGGAGAAGCAGAGGACACCAGACGCCGTGGGTGGTGGAAGGGGGCTTGGGGGTCCCCTGCGGCACAGGAGAAGGGGGCTTCTCCACACCCAGCACTCAGGCAGACCCCAGACTCCTGGAGGAAAGCTGCGGAGATGCAGACGGGACACCCACCTTGGGGGCTGGGGCGTCTTGCCCTTGAATTCTGTATGTGCTTGCTCCCCCCTTCTCTCCAGAGTCTGTCTCCACAAGTCCGTGTTTCTTTCCCACCCACTGCTCACGCCGGACAGACTACTTGCCTTTTTCTTGCTTTTTCAGGCTACACGACCCTTCTCAATCAGGGACAGTTCGAGGCCTGTCTCACATCGCCCTCCTTCCTGAGGGGCTGCGGGTGAGCACGTACCGAGAGGCCGTCCTCCCAGTAGCAGGCGGGGTGCTCGGGGTCCGTGTGCACAGCCAGCAGGCGGAGGGCCTTCCCCGCCAGGCCCAGGACCTGCGCCCGGATCTCCACGCAGCCTGCGGACAGCGAGTGCAGGCTCCCCAGCTGTGCCAGCGCCACGTGGGCCAGGGTCCGCCGCAGCGTGAACCATTTCTGTGGGGACAGGAGCGCCTTGGGATTGCCCTGAGCAACACCAGAGGCTCCCCGACACCCCGACCTTCCCCACCACCCTGTCCCGTCCCTGAGCTCCCTGGTCTGACACCCCCAGGAGTGGCGACGTCCCGGGTGAGAAATGCACCCTCTGGCCTCTGTGGGAGGGGGAGTGGGGCGGTCTCCAGGGCTTAGGTGCTGGGGAGTCACTAAAATCCGCTTAGAGAACCTTGGCCTGGGACTCAATGACAAATAGATAAGCTCATGTCGAGCTCAATTTTAGGGCTATCTTTGGTGTATTTACGGTTACATCGAGTTACTCTGGTTCACAGTGTGTGAAGTCTGAGAAAGCGTCTGAAATGGCAGGATGCGCCCTTCAGAGATTTTCAACCTCAACTTAACGAACGCCCTCACCCCTGCTGAGCCCTTCTGTGTGAGGAAATAATCGGCCCAAGCAAACGCATGCCCAGGTAGGAGAGGGCAGTGCGCCCAGGAACGTCCCCCAGGAGCCCCCCAAGGCCGTCCGACCAGGGTGAGGGCGGGCCGGGAGCCCCGGGGGCTGAGGACACACCCGCGGTCAGAGGGCTCCACCCCCGCCATCCCCTGGCCGGTCCTGCCGTGCCCCCCACGCCCCCGGTGCCCCACAGGCAGCACCCAGAGCCCTGGGCCGCTGGCTCTCGGGCTGGTTACCAGGTCCACGGAGGTGACGTCGCTCAGGCTGTGCAGGTAGTCGGCCAGCAGCCTGTCCGCCGAGCCCTGCCCCAGCCGCCGGGCCTGCGCCTCCGCCCACGTGAGCTGCAGCAGGTCCAGGGATGCCTCGGCCAGGTGGAGCCGCAGCCCCGCCAGCTTCCTCGTCAGGGGTGTGCTGACGCTCTGCAGCCGGGCAGGCCGGACACACGCGGTCAGAGCGCCACAGGGAAGGCCACGCCTGTGTCCTTGTGCCCCACAACCTCACGCCCCCTTTCTAGCTGGTCCCTCCCGCCCATGCAGCCCAGGACCACACTCCACCCCACCAGCCCGTTCGCAGGCTCAAGGGTCCGCACGGGGACCATCACACGGTGTGCGCTCTCTCTGGCTGACGCCACTCGCGTGATTACTCAGACCCGCCCACGCTGCTGCTGCGCTCACATCTGTCCACGGACACAGAGCACCTGTAGTCCAGGTGGGCCCAGCACGAGTACCCACTCACACGCGGGGTGCTGCAAACACAACACAACGGCCGTGAACACGTGTGCACGGGCTTCTGCGTGGACGTGGGCTTTCACCTTTCGCAGGCAAATTCCTGGGTGTGGGGTGCTGGCTCCTCCGGGGCCCTGTTTAACGACCAAGCTGCTGTTCGTGCTTCAGCCCCCCCAGCGGCGACGAGAGTTCGGTCCCTCTGCGTCCTTGCTAACACCTGCCATGCCCGGTCTTCTAAGCTGCAGGCGTTTTAGGCGGTGTGCGGTGGTTTCCCTGACTCACTGGTGAGTTCGTCATCCCCTCATGGAATTCTTCATCAGCCACATGTCCTCTTTGGAGAAATGTCTGCTCAACTCTTTGCCCACGTTTTATGGGAGTGTTTCTCTTAGTACTAAGTTTTAAGAGGGTTTTATATTCTGGATACAATCTGGATACAATCCATCACATGGTTTGCAAATATTTTCTACTGGCTTGTGCCTGGTCTTTGCATCCCCTGAACAGTGTCTTCTGAAGAGCAGGTGCCAATCTCTCAGTCTGTCAGTCTCCCCTAGAGCCGTGTGTAAGGAATCTTTGCTGAACCCAAGGTCCCTGAGGTGTTTTCCTCCAGAAGCCTTGCAGTCTCAGCTCTCACCTTCAGATCGCCCGTCCTCTTGGGTTGAATCTGGCGTCTGGTGTGAGGAGCGCACTGAAGCCATCTGGGTTTCCAGTGGCTCCAACACCACTGCCATACTCCGCGGCCGGTCTTCACGAAGCTGCCTTTGCTCTTTTGTTGAAAAGCAATCTCTGTCTACTTCCCAATTCACCGTCACGTGCCATTGGTCTGCTCGTCTTACTTATACACTAAAACCACACGGCTTTGGTTCCTGCCACTTTACAGTAAGTCTTACAATCAGGTAGTGTTAGATCTCCAACTCAGTTTTTCTTAAGTTGTCTGCTATGCTACATCTTTTGCAGTTTCAAATGAATTAAAAAAAATTTTTTTTCAAATTTTTATGAAAAGCCTGCAGCTTCTTGGTCAGGATTACAGCAAGTCTTCTGGTCCATGAACATGATATACCTCGCTATCTACTTAAGTCTTCTTCTCTCAATGATGTTTCCTAGTTCTCAGGGGTAAATTTTCCCCTTTTTTGTCAAATTTCATTTTTATGCTATCCAGTGGTTATGTTTTTGAATTTTTAATACCTGATCAATTGTTGTGAGTATATAGAAATATAAAATTAATTTTTCATATTGTTCTTGTGTCCTAAGCTTTACTGTAAGAACTTGTTAGTCCTAGTACATTACCATTTTTATAGATCGCGTGAGAGTCTTCTTTTTCTTTTCTAAGAGCGCTCAAGTGTGCGAGCAGGTAGGGGAGGGGCAGTGGGAGAAGAAAAGAGAATCTATCTTTTTTTAAAATATTTTATTTGTTTATTTGACAGACAGAGATCACAAGCAGGCAGAGAGGCAGGCAGAGAGAGAGGAGGAAGCAGGCTCCCCGCTGAGCAGAGAGCCCGATTTGGGGCTCGATCCCAGGACCCTGAGATCATGACCTGGGCCGAAGGCCTGGGCCGAAGGCAGAGGCTCAACCCACTGAGCCACCCAGGCGCCCCAGAAAAAAGAATCTTAAATAGGCTTCTCACCCAGCGTGGAGCCCAACTCAGGACTCCATCTCACGACCCTGAGATCAGGATCAGAGCCGAAAATCAAAAGTCGGACGCTCAACCCACTAAGCCACCCACGTGCCCCTGCATGAGATTTTCTGCACAGGTGATCATGCCCTCTGTACGCAAAGACAGTTTTCCTTCTTCCTTTCTAGACTGGGCATTTTTGGTTTCTTACTCTTATTTACTGAGTTGACTACAACTCAAGTACACTTCAGAATGAAGGTGGGGGGAGGGGGCACTGCCATCTTAGTGCTTTGCTTTCCCCACTAAGTGTGACGTGAGTCCTAGTGTTTTCACAGATGCAGTCTATCAGCTGGAAGAGCTTTCCTTCTGGTAATGGTTTGCTAAGCGTCTCCCCCCACCCCCAATCAGGAATGAGTGTTGGGTTTTGTCTACTGAGGTGATCATATTTTTAAGGTGATTTTTAAGAAAATATGGTGAGCCAAATTGATTGATTTTTGAAAGTTAACAACAATCCCAGGATAACCCCAACTTGGCATTGATGTGTTATCTTTTCTACAAATTTTTTTACATATTTTTACATATTTTACATATTATTCTTTTTTACATATTATTGGATTTAATTCACTAAAGTTTTGTTTAGAATTTCTGCATCTGTGCTCATGAATCTGTTGGCTTTGTTTTGGTATCACAGTCGTACTAGCCTTACAGATGGGGATGGGTTCTCTCCTTCTCAATTTTCTGGAAGACTCTGTGTTGAATTGGTGTTATGTTCTCCTTAAATGTTTGCTAGGAATCACCAGTAAAACTGTCTGGCTCTGATGTGTTCTTTGTGGAACGACTTACTAAAAATTCCATTTCGTTAACAGATGAAGGGCTGTTCAGGTAATCTATTTCTTTTTGAATGCGTTTTGGTTGTTCGTGTCTGTCGAGGAATTGTTCTATATCGTCACAAAGTTGCTCAGAATAGTCCCCTTTATTGTTTTAATACGCGTAGGCTCCCTGGTGATGCTACAACTCTTACTGCAGATACTGAGCATTTATGTCCTCTTCTTCCCCCTGATCGGTCTGGACAGAAGTGTAGGAACTTTTTTTATCTCAAATAACAACCTGTGGTTTTATGGATTTTACCTTTTATTTTTATGTCTCCGATTTCACTGATCGCTGCTTAGATCTTCAATCCCCTTTTTTCTGCTCATTTGCAGTTGGCTCTTCTGTTTCCTTACAATGAAGGCTAAGGTCGTTAGTCTGGGATCTTTTTCCTCTTGTCGTATGGTTATACAGCGCTACAAATTTTCCCCTAAGCGTTGCAATTAGAGACGTCATGAAAATTCTGAGTTTTTTCCGCCTTCAGTTCAGAAATACTTTCCCTTTTGATTTGTTCTCTGGCTCATAGTTATTCCGACGGACGCTATTTACTTTCCAAATATTTGGGTATTTCACCCTTAGCTTTCTGGTGTTTTTAATCGAGGTAAAATTCATATGACACAAAACCACCGTTTGAAAGTGTACAACGCAGTGGCCCTTAGTGCTCTCACCACCTTGTGCAGCCCCACCCTCTTGATTTCGTCCTTCCAAAAGGGAACCCCCACCCCACTCAACAGCCTTGTCTTAAGCCCCTCCCCGACCCCCTCCCCTACAACCACTAGTCAGCTTTCTGTATCTATGGACTTAACTCTTCTTTTATGTTGCTTTTTGATTTCTACTTTAATCGCATCCTGGTCTTGACACACACATTGTCCTCAAGAGTGACTTCCGAGTCACTTGTACCCTTGTCCCTGTCCCTGTCCTTGTCCTTGCGTTCTGACGTCCGCGCCGGTTCCCAGTCTGTCCGGACGGACTGTTCCACATGTTGGGAAGTACATTTTCCTTGCTTTCTGGCGTGGTGCATCTCACTGGTTGTCAGACACTGTGCGTCCTCCTCTTCCGGCAGCGGACAGCTGTCTGCAGACCCTGTGGTCCTCCCAGGTCTCCGACTGTGCAGGCCCACCCAGGGCAGAGCTCATCCTGGACGGATCATCCCCAACTGAGACAAGACCTTCCGTCTGCTTGGCGCAGCGCCTGGGGTCACGAGGTTGTCCCGTCTGGCTGGCGGGAGCAGGTGCTGCTCCAAGCCTGAGTGGGGGCCTAACACCTTCCTGAGGGCCCCCTGCTTCCGTGGTGAGTGCCGGCCGGGGTGGGGCCACCTGTGCTCAGGGACGACGATGCCCATGTGGGCATCTAGGGTGTTGAAAATCTGTTTCACATTTTTGTCTACTCTTTGGTTATTTTGGAAGGGAGGGGCGAATCCTGTTGCGACGCTGCCTCCCAGCCAAACTGCAAGGAGGCAGGCTGCCTTTCTAGGGCAAGTGCGGGGTACGTCTGTGTGCGCCGAGGGGTGCTCAGGGCTCCGGGGAGGGACCCGGGACCCAGACTTACCTCCTGCGAGGACAGTAAGCCCCGCACACTGAGAAACAGCGCCTCTGCCTCGGCCACGGCGCTCTGGACCAAGTCGTAGGCCTCCAGGTGATACGCCGTTCTCTGCTCTTCCCCTCTCTCGTTTCGGGCGCATAATCTTTAGAAGATGGAAGAGTGGGATTTAGAACAAAACCCTTAAGCATTATTCCATCAGTAGTAACAAACTGCACAGTGTATAAATTTTAAATAATTATACTGTATCTTTATTAGTACTTCAAATTTTATGATTGGATGTTCTATATGTAAAGATATCGTCACTATATCTTGGCCCAAAAATACATATGCGCTTTATTCTATTTTTGTAAAATTAAATCTATCCAACGAACCAACGCCATGACGTTAATTGTGCTGATTTAACTGCCTTGTTTTCCTGTTCATGCTTTTCTGCATTTTTTAAAGTTCGACAATGACCACATATCGATTCCGTAATCACAGGATCAAAGTTACACCCCACGTGCCCAGGTGGCTTTTTCCTCATAAAGGCTGTTTTTAACACCTTCTACACAAGACTTGCTTGTTGCGCTTGGAAATGCCTGTGCGTACCCCAAGCAGGTGGGCGGCCCAGGGCCGGAGGGATGGAAGGGAGGTGGGCGGCCCGGGGCCGGGGACGGAGGGGAGGTGGGAGGGGGAGACCGTCCGCTGAGGCTTGGCCTCCTTCCTCTGTCTCTGGGTCAGCCCCTGCCCTCGAAGACAGTGGGGACTTCGAGAGGTCGCACGAGGGAGGTTGACAGCGGGCCGCTGCAGGGCCAGCGAGGGTGAGCGCATGCAGGGGCACACGAGGCCGACGTGTGTGTGGCTGTGAGTGACCACAGGTAATGTGCACACACAGGTGTGATGTGTGTCTGCACGAGCGTGACCAGAGTGTGAACACTGTGGGGCGGTGTGTGTGGAGCTGGGAGGCACACGTCCGCTGTGTTTGCTGAGACGCCGTGGTGCGGGGGACACCGAGGGGGCGGGACAAGAGTGCGGACGCCCCCTCCCCCCATGCCGCTGTCCTGGAGGGATGTGCAGCCAGCCACAGGGCCAGGAGGAGGCTCTGCTGGGACACAAGGGGGCTGGGGAGTCCTGAGCCAGGAGGAGAGCGGGGCACAGGGTCAGGACATGGGACAGGGGGGCAGGGGCTAGGGAGCGGGAGCTCAGGGACAGACCCTCAGCCCCCCTCCCGGGCCCCCCAGCAGGGCTGCTCACCTCTTTATCTTTGCGCGCTCTAGTTTTATGTCCACACACTGCTCTTTGTAGCCCCAGGCGGTCAGCTTTTTCTCAATCTCCGTCAAACGATCGTGCAGCTGGGTCAGCATGAACAAGCATTCGGGAGGCCCACGGCCAGCGAGGTCCTCGACGGCGCTGATCCGGAGCCTCACACATCTGCGGACGGCGGGGACCGTCCCATGTGGCCACCGCAGTCTGGCCTGCGTCACCCCGACACGGAGCGCGCTTCCCGCGGACCAGAAAGCACACGGGCCATGTGCTTCCACTGCGAGACTGTCCTGCCCCGCACCGCCCTCCTGTGGCGCGGGGGCAGAAGCCACGCGGGAACCCAGGATGACGTGCGGGTGCCGCCAGCTGGAACCCCGGGAGCCCGAACCGCCCCTCAGACGGAGAACCCAGAACTGAACACACACAAGGCGGAAAACAAGGGGAAACGGCAAGGACAAGCCTCGGCTGCTACTTTGTTAAGGTCAGCGGGAGGCGATGCACAAGTCTGACTGAGGAGAAGGTGGGCATGGGCAGGGGACAGATCTGTGACAAAGACTGTGACGTTACAGGAAAAGAGTCCAGAAACAGACACACCAACACGACCCAAAACCCAGAGTTCACAATTTTCTGGAAGAACACAAAATGCCACAAAGAGGCCAGACATCCGAAGGACCCCTAAGCCCGGGAGACGAGTGCTGGTCTCCGAAGCTCTTTACCCAAAGCGCCTGCCACCGACCCAGAGAGGACAGACCCCACGGAGGCACATGCTCACGGGATGAAGGTCACACCATCACGGGGTGGGGGGGCGGAGAAAATCCCGCGGCCAGACCCCTGCTGGAGCTGTGCCTGCCCCTCACCCCGAGGGGGTCCACACGCACCTGGGGGAGCTCAGACATGTCCCCAGAGAATGTAGGAACCAAACGAGCCACCTGCATCCGTGTCCCGAGAAAAAGGCACGTTGGAAAGGAAGAGACACTGTCCCCGGGAGCCAGAAGGCTGAAGGTCAGTCTCTGGCGACCTCCCCGGGCCCCTGCCCCCCGGGGCCATGGGCTATGGACAAGGGTCCCCAGGTGGAAGGCTCCGCTTCGGAGGAGGCCAGCTGGGTCAGGGGTGTCGTGTGACTCTCTGCACCTCAGAGGTCTGGGAAGCCGCGTGAGGAGCAGTCAGCCCCGACCTCCTGTGAATTCAGTTTTCCTCGCCGAGAACTACCTGGCTTCCAGGTCTGTGCTCATAAATTCCAGGACGGGCGCTCGGTTTGGTCTCTCCCTCTGCAGGTCCCTGAAGACGTCGATGAGTCTCTGGAACTCCCGGCAGGCCTGAGGAGGGCGGTGACGTCCGCGGGTGGCTCTGGGCCACGGGGACCCGCCACCCCCCCACCGAGGGCCGGGGCAGCTCTACCGTCACTTTGCTGCCTTCGCCTCCCTTGGCCAGGAGCGCGTCTGCCAGGGTCAGCGCTGAGCCGTGCCAGAACTCCTCGTCGCCCCCCAGACGCCGGGCCTGCTCCACCAGCTTCAGGGCGCGAGCATGGCTTTTCTCCTTGTTCGCCAGCTGCGCTAGAAGGTGCAGGCACTTTGCTTCCGAATGAGGGTCACCAAGCTCCTGAAACAGACGTGTGTGAGCAGCGTGTGCGGGAGCGGGACGGCGTGACAGCAGCTCCGGGCACCAGGCCTCACCCCACACAGTGGCCACTGGGCGGCTCCCTCACCTCTGAAGGGCCCTCAGGGCCCTGGGCTGGGTGGACTGGAGGCCTGTGCATGTACTAATGTCCACTTCCAGGGTCCCCGAGCCCGCCCTTGGCAGCGGTCCCCAGTGCCCTCCTAGGAGCCGCCATCCAGATGCTGGCCACGGACGGCGGACATTTGCACCCAAGCCAGCCAGGGCTGCTTCATCCCCCGTCCATCACACGCGGTCGCAGGGAGCCTGGGCGTGCGGTGCGGGTGCTGTCGGCCTCTGAACCCCACCCGGGCAGGAGGACACCGGGCGCTCAGGTGGGAAGGACAGCAGTCCGCGGTGGCCGTCTCCGGACAGAGCAGCGAGCGCGCAGCTCGAAGACACTGAAGTGGGGCCTGCTGGGCCTGGGGCCCGTGGCCCCAGCAGCCAAGGCCCCAGAAGCCAGGGCAGGCTGGAGGCGAGGAGAGCCAGGCGCTCACAGGAGGCAGACACGCTGATGGGGGTGGTGGGAGCAGCCACAGCGGAGGGGCGGACGGCGGACTGCTGTGGATGGACGCAGGGGCTGGGGCGGGCAGACGCCCCAGGGAGACATTGCCAGGCTCTGACCGCTACGGCCCCATGGAGACGTGGTTCGGGGCAGGAAGGAAAAGCCCGCAGGCAAGGCACCATCCATGTGTGTGGGACATGTGACAGAAGGCTCAGGAGGGGCAGTGTGGCGTCTAGAGGACGCAAAGGTGCCCCAGCCACCACCTGGGCACAGACACTCCCCAGGAGCTCTCTGGCGGCCGGGTCCTCGGCCCGCTGGTCTCAGAAGAGGCCGCCAGCAGCAGAGTGCCGCCTCTCCGTCCCACCCGGGCACTCCCCATTCTGGCCCCACCTCGCCCCTCCGCTGTCTGGCCCGCACGCAGCCATCTGTGCTGGACAAGCACCCGGCCCACGGCCTGAATCTCCCACGGCCTTGAATTCTGTGCTGTTAAGGTCCTTCTCTCTCTGGAGTCCTTTAAAACCCGTGACAGCCCATCTGGTTCTGTAGCTTTGCCTTGCCCCCCAGTGAATGCGGTTCTCCGAGCCGGACGCCGATAGAACCCCCTTCTCTGCGGGGAGGGACGCACACACAGGCAACCTTTCTCACGGGGGACGGAGCTCGGGAGGACATAGCTGGGGCGTTGGGGCCTCCAGCTGCGGGCACTAGACGCCAATCATGGGGGCACCTGAAGATGTGCGCCGGGGGCAGGGCAGGTCCAAGGGGCAGAGCAGACGGGGGTGACGGGGGGCTGGGGGCTGAGAGAAGGTCTGAACAGCCAGGCCGGAGTGCAAGCCTCTTGGGGGCTCAGAAAACCTCAGGCTTCCGGCGAGGCCCCCTGAGAGGCCGCGGACACCTGGGCTGGGCCCACGGCGAGGAGCCCTCCGGTCTCTCAGCCCCTGCACACACATCGGGAAACACCTGCGGGGTCAGACCCGCAGCCGCCGCAGGAAGCGAAGACTTCAGCCAACTCTCTACAGACTGAACGAAAACCAGAGAAACCACAGGCAAAGGGCAGACTCAGATCCGAGTCCAGGATGGACACTGCAGCACGGCGAGAGGCCGGCCAGCTTCCGAGCAGACGGCCTGCATCCAGAGAGCCGTCGTGGCGTGCAGGCGCCCCCCCGACCCAGGGCCCGGCGGCCCCTCACCTGGAAGGCCAGGCAGGCCTCCGCCAGCAGCTGCCTCGCGGGCTGGTACAGGTCCATCTCCAGCAGCGCATCGGCTTTGAGCAGCCATAGCTGGGGGAAGGACGTCCCTTCCAGGCCCCGCCCGGTGTCTCCGTTCACCGTCAGGAGCTGGAAGGCGGGGCGGCAGGTCTGCGCCCGAGGCCGGGGAAGCTCCCGCCGTCCATGCTCCCCCAGGCCGGGCCCCGACCTGTGCAGCGAGCCGTCTCCTGGGACAGCGTCTCTTCTCACCTCCAGCCCACCCCCGGGGGTGTCAGAGCAGGTCCCGTGCTGGCCCTGCTCCGGCCGCTGCCCCGTGCTCCGGTACCAGGTCTCCGGTCTCCGGTACCAGACCCGGGTCTCCGGTACCAGGTTGCACCCGGACCGGCATGTGAGGTGTCCGTGAGCCCCTGAATTCCTCAAGACACACGGGGGCCTGGCACGTTCCTACCGCGCCTCCCAGATGGTTGACGCCGGGGGCTCGCAAACGGAGGCCCAAGGCTGGCGGCCCCGTGGTGACAGGTGTTCGGAGCGTGGTGGCCGGACAGCTGCTTTTCTTGAGGCGTGAGCCCGCAACCAGTGATCCCGCCGTGTGGGCAGTGGTCAGACCTCTGGGGCAACTCTCCAGCTGCCCCGGCCTCGGCCACCCTTCCTGGGAATCCCTCTGTGCTGCCCCCACCCGTCTTCTCTGAATCCTGCCCAGGCCCCTGGTGGGTGCACTCTGAGGTGATCTGTAGCCCCGATCTCCCCAGAGACACCCAGGGCACACGGGGAGGGAACACACCCCGGTTTTCCCAGGGAACCCGGCATGAGGGTCTGTACACAGCTTGCGGTGAAGTCTTGTCACACTAGGGGCCGAGCTGTGGCTCGGGGACACGGTGCTGCTGGTGGAGCGAGGGTACCTTGTCTTGGGCCACGAGGGGCTTCGTTTCTGGGGGCGACACTGCAGTTACGGGCTCAGCCGGAGTCGGCACGCTGTCGTCTAAGACCGCTTCCTTATTCTTCTCCTTTCTCAAGGCAATTTCCTTTCTGCAGCTAATGTAAGTAACATAGGTGACATGCCAAAGAAACGCAACGGCCAAGAAGCAGATGTCTGGAAATGTTCAATGTCGGTAGTGATCCAGAAACACAAATTAAAACAGCCCCCAATCACTCACGTGTTCACAGAGATGACACAAAACTCCCATGACTGCCTCCAGAGCTGCCCCTGACCCCCGGCACTGTCCCCCCAGGCCAAGCATCCTCCCACCCCCACTGTCTGGCTGTGTGTGATGCAGGATGGGCCTGGGGTTGGAGAGGACACAGCCGGGAGCAGCTCCGTGTTGGCCAAATCCTTCCTTGTTTACAGGTGAGCTGGCGTCCCCTGGCGGGACGGGACCTCGGGGTTGGGGGTGCACACCTCGCCTGCTCCACATCGTAGATGTACGTCTGCCCCGCCTGCTCCTCGTGGTGAGTAGCTGCTTCTCTCAGCTTCAAGTCGGAACAAGCAAGGGCAAGTCTAGGGGAAGGGGCGGCAGAGCAAGCACACGGTCACACGGGACGTGTGGTAAGGGTCAGGCTGCACTGGGCTCCGTGCGCCTCATAAAAACTGGCAAACGAGAAAGGAATGGATAATTTAGTGATGTTTTCAGTAATATTCAGACCTAAGCAAAACGACACAGGTGCCTCTTGCGAACTTCAGGCGGAAAGAATGTTCACACTCACTCATACACCAGACTCCGTCCAGACTCACCGTCTAGGTCACCCTCAGAGGGAAAAATAAGGCACCACGGGCGGGGCCCCGAGCTCCGCGACAAGGGCAAGGTCTGCTTCGGTTCCGGCATGAAACGGTGTCGTGGGAAAGGGTTTCGAGCTTACAGAAGAGCTGCCCGAGCACTGCAGAGCCCGACTGCACGTCCCTTGCCAGAGCCCTGGGCGCAAGCGCTCAGCGTACCTGCTTCACTGGTTGTCTCCCTGTCCCCCGCCACCCTGTAAATATTTTTTCTGGATGATTGGAGAGCAGGCCACGCAGCGGCCCTTCATTCTAATGCATCAGCGTACATTTCCTTAGAACAACAATCTTCCCTTAAGGACCCAGTCGAATTTTAAAACAAAAAGAGTATTTTCATGATCAAGTATGCTGACTTATTTGGTTTTACAAATCACTGGGCTATTACTTATGGAATTAGCCAACCACAGAATTCGTATTTGGAAATGCTGTTTCTCTTACATTGCTTTGAAGTTTTCCCCTTTAGCCTCCCAAGTGTTCCCCAGTTTCCCCGAACGTGCATCAGCCGTACTGACCGCAGGTGGTAGAGGTCTCCGAGGCTCTTGCTGTCCACCACAGCGGCCGCGACGACTGCGCCCAGCTGCAGGAGCGGGATGGTGAGCTCGTGAAGGGACAGCTTCTGCAGGGCTCTGACCAAATGGTCCAGATAGTACAAAGTGTACGTCTATGTAAACACACAACAGGCGTGCAAGGTCAAGGACGGGAGGCACGGCAGGCCACCAGCTCATAAGGTCTTTCGTCAGCAGCCTCCGCCCTTCTCCACGCCACACACAGGTCCCGACGCACACCTGGGACTGAGCCGTGTTTGCCGAGTGAGTGGACGATGTGCTCTCCCCCTTCTCTCCCTCACGCGTAGCTTTCATCTTGTCATGCGCCATCACCCGTTAACGTCCACACCCAATACAGTTAAAAGTCCTCACAGGAAACAATCCATTCGCATATTTACTCAAATTAATGTTTTTGTCAGATTTCATCCACTAGGAACTGCTGATCCATTGAAAACAGAATCTCTCCACGAACACATACAACTGCCTTAAAACCGAGTATGGGTAGAGACCAACTCGGACTCATAAAGACAGACTGGGTTCGACATAATTATTACTCTGGGGTGGAAAATTCAAGAAGCTGGACCAAGCGTTTAGCAACGTGCCTGAAGCGCAGGTCACTGGGTGGTGCTAGGGCCGTTACTGGGCCAGAAGACAATGGGGTCTCGAGAAGGAAACCACATTGGGGTGCACTTGTCCTGGGGGTTTCTGAGGATTCAAGAGGCTGCTGGGAGGCCCGGTGGCGCTTCTGGTTTTTGTCTGCTTATTTGGGGTTTTCCCTGTAGCGGGGAGACAACCAGCTGCGTGGAGGGCCCACTGTAAGCTACGCGCCCGGCTGGGTCCCCAAAGGCCTGCACCTTAGGGTTCAGGGTGATCTACATGCAAAGCAGCCGTCTCAGGGACACCCCAAAAGCCAGTGGCTTTGGGTGGCCTGGAGAACATGCGTTTTCTTTGAGAGATTAATACCGATAACTCCTGGTGAGGCTGGTCAGGAAGCAGGGGTGGGAAGGCTTACATCCTACAGACCCTACAGACACTACAAGATCATAAAAGGACATTAAGAACAACATTATTTTATAAACTTGAAATTTTATGTTAAGTGGAAATACCCTAGAAAAACACAATCCACCAAATTATAAGAGAAACAGAAAATCAGAAAAGCTCTTGAACTACAAAGTAAACTGAATCATAACTTATGACCTTCCCACAAAGAAGAAAAGGTCCAGAAGTTCCCACCAGGGAACTCTCCCAAATTTAAGGAAGAAAGAACAAATAATCTTTTACAAACCTCCCCAAGAATAAAGAAAAATAAAGGTGGGGGACCATCCGCGGTGGCGACCCACGTGTCCTGGCCCCATGTACCCTCGTGCCCCCAGGCCAGCAAAGATTATCTAAAGTCACGGGGAAAATGGCAGAAAGGACACTGTCACCGTTGCCGGAAAGAGTGACTTATGGTTTTGTTCTTTTCTCAGGCCCCCAGGTTGGCTTCGCGCTCTTTCTTGTGCGAACTGTTATGCCCGTGCCTTGACCCAAGTCCTTAGGCTTGACCAATGGCCTCAAACACGTGGGGCAGCTGCGCTCCTGTCTGCCTCCCCGTTTCTACGGTAATCGGTGATGTGCTCTTACTTAGAACGGAGGCAGCGAGTGCCTCTCCACTGCAGCCCATCCCCACAACCGCAGACAACTATGCTGAGGGCCTCCGCACAGGGACACCGAGAAGCGGCCGCCCCAGCAGCGGGAGGTGCCCCCACGAGCCATGTGAATCTAGTGTTCTCTCTTACAAAGAACTTTAAGCCAAAAACTAAACTGTACGTAGACTAATATCAAGCATTTATTGTTTTGATGTAGTAATTTTGACCATAATTACTTTTATTATCTCTTATTAATACCCTAATATTGAAATGTAAAAAAATTAAACTTTTCTTAGATCATGTTCCATTAACATTAAAATGTTCTCAAATATTAGTTATTAATGGACAGAATAAATAAAAAACCACTGGTATTTTGTCACATTCCAGACTTTTTAAAAATATAAGTATCAGTAGAAGCACGAAGTCCTTCAAGAAAAAGAAGGCGGGGCGCCTGGGGGGCTCAGTGGGTTAAGGCCTCTGCCTTCGGCTCAGGTCATGATCTCAGGGTCCTGGGATCGAGCCCCGCGTCGGGCTCCCTGCTCAGCGGGGAACCTGCTTCCTCCTCTCTCTGCCTGCTTATGATCTCTGTGTGTCCAATAAATAAATAAAATCTTTAAAAAAAAAAAAAAAGAAAAGAAAAGGAAGTGGGGAGGAGACACTTCCTAACCGACGAAAGGGTCAGTGTGACATTGTGACCCACAAGGATATGGACCCTCGGCCTCTGTCCCCGCTGCTGGCACCGAGCTCCGACAACCCTTGCGACCTCGAGACCCAGGAGGCCCCTCCAAGCAGCTGAGTTTGTCCCCGCGAGGTGACTCCGGGCGGCCCCCGGACAGCTCGGGATGGGGGCTGCGTGCCGGGGACCCAACCCTGTGACCAGAGGCTGGAGGTCTGGTCTCGCCCCCTGGCGCCGGGGAGGGGGAGGGGCCAGAGGCGGAATAAGACACCAACGGCCAAAGATCCCCTCACTCGTGCCTGCGTCGCGGAACCTCCCTAAAGCCCTACACGGAGCAGCGAGGCGCGTGTCCGGGTGTTGAACACATCCGCACGCAGGCGGCGCCCCCGGTGCCAGGCGTGTAGGAGCTCCCGTGCTCGGCACCCGCCCAGACCTCGACCCGAGGACCTCTTCACGCGGCTGCTCGCCCGCGTCCTTGCTAACAACGCGGTGATCTAGAAAACACGGTGTCTCCCTGAGTTCCGTGAGCCGCACTAGCAAATGGCCAACCCTGCACCGGGGCGTCAGGGGAACCTCCAACGCGCAGCCGCATCAGATGGCCGTGCAGGTGGCCTAGGGCCCCGGCACTGTAGACGCGGGGGCCGCCTTGAGAGCCTGAGCTCCGAGGCCGAGGAGCCCACACCCACCAACCCTGGGTGGTCCGTGCCAGGACTGGGTGGATTCACGGGACACCCAGCGGGTGTCCACAGGCAGCAGCAGAGCTGGACGTTGGCGTGGAAAAGCCGCATGTCTGGGGACGGCTGGGAGCAGGAAATGGTTCAGAATCTGGATAACTTTTTACCAAATCCCGAAACGGGCGCTGGACGCATGGGAGAGGACTGTGGACACCAACGCCGCAAAGGGACAAACACGATTATGCAGGAGACGAATAATGCGCCTCAGCCACATGGACTTCTCTGGGTAACCAACGGCAGAAGAGCCATGTGATCGGCTGGAAGCAGGAAGGAGAAGCAGCGCCACCGCCTGAGCAGGTGGAAAGAAGCGCGTGGTCCCCGGCTAGAGCCGCTCACGACTGAGCTCTGAGCAACGAGGAACAGGAAGCTTTCCAGCGGGTAAAGAATCTCCCTGAAACCACAACAAACAGCCATCACACCCCTAGCAAGTGTCGCCAACCCTCCCGTCAGAGCCGGCAGCGCGGTAAGGCCGTGTGCCATGCCCGGCGTCTCTCCCGCACCTGCCCGGGCCTGGACCCGCGGAGCCGGTGCAGGAGTGACGAGAGCCATGACGGGGTCCGGAGACGAGCAGCAGACGGAGCGATGGTCCCGCACGACGTCCAGAAGACGTGACAATAAGTCACCACAATCATTAAAAGTCTAACAAAACTGTTTCTGTATTTAACGTGGCGTTCAAGCATGACCCGGAAAGGCCTATTTGCAACAGGATCAAAGACGTCGGATACGTGGAACCCCACCGGGCACGTGCATGTGCCCGCACAGGAAACGCAGCCCCCGCCGCGCATCGAAGGAAGGCCTGAGCCGGGGGCGGGGGGGTGGACTGTCCACGCACCGGAGGGCCGTGGGCGTCCGCTCTCCCCAAGCCGGCAGCCGACCCGGAGCCTCTGAGCCGTCACGAGCCGGGCCCCAGCCGCGGACCCCAGGGTGCACACGGAGATGCGAGGGGAACGGAAAGAACGTCCAGGACCTTCTCCAAGACCAGGGTGACGTCACGCGAAGCTCAGGCATCGCAGCCGTGAGGGGCGGGCGCGCGTGTGGACACGGCCGCAGGGCCAACATGGCTCCACAGAGGAGATGGGCACACGCTCTTCCCACAGATGGGCTGGAACATTCTGACACCCAGATTGGAAAGCCCACGCTGACCTCGCCCTCCAGCACACCCACCAGCCTCAGGCGATGGCCTGTGTGACTCCGGCACAGAACCCCAGAAAGCTTTCGGAAGAGGCTGTAAGCGAGTACCTTCACGACCTCTGGAGAGGGAAACGGTGCGACCCACGATGTCCTAGTGACAAAGGAGCAGATCTCTAATTTTACCACACGAACGCGGAATCTCGAGTCACAAGAAGACCGCAGGGGAGCCCGCGAAGAGGGAAAGGTGGTACGCCCTCCGCACACTGTCAGAGTGTGGTTTCCAGAGGAGGTTAAGGATTCCTTCAGGTCAGTAAGAGACAGAAACCTTAGTAAAACGTGGGCAACAGACTGGAAAGGCCACAGAGACGACATCCGAGGGCCAGAGGACAGAGTGAGGTGCGGCCATGCTTCCTCTGGACGGCCCAGGTAGGAAGGGGAACCACGCGAGGCCGGCACGGCGTGGACACTGGCCCTCCCGCCCACCTCGGAAGGCCGTCTGGCCAGAGGTGACCTGGTCGGCCAAACCCACGCTCCACGGCCACAGGTGCCGTCTGGAACACTCTCAGCAGCTTCTCGTGTGAAGCCACCGACGAGACAACATGAGTGTCACCCAGTGTCGCATGGACAAGCGGACTGTGGCCTAGTCCGGGGGCCGTGGGACGGCTCCACAGCCAAGAAAGCCAACAGGAGACGGAGACACGGACGAGGCGGCACAAGCGATTCCAAACACGGGAGGGATACACGGACGATTCCCACATTGTTAAGCACAAAAGACGGGAGGAAGGCGCTGGGCAATGAAGGTCCCAGGTCATCGGGTCTAACCCCTGGGACCTCACAGCAAACGGCTTCCTTGCCAGCGTGGCCGGCGGAAACCCAGAGACGGAGCATTTCCGTGGGGTTACCCAGGTGGGCCCGGAGTCGGAGCCGGAGACGGGGGACGGCCGCACTCGCCGCCACAGCAGCCACCGACACGGCCACCGGCGGCGTTTCCACATCTGGGCGCGCTCCCGGCGGGGAGGGCACCCCACGACGAGAAGGAGCACGTGCTTCCCACCGACACTGGCGGTCGCCTGGGGACGGTGGCGGCCAGGACAGCGGAGGCCTGGGAGGCCACGCACAGGTGCGTCCTCAACGAGGCACCAGGCCAGGCCCTGCTTACGTGCCCTCTTTCTGGATGTACTTCACGGCACAACGGCTACGGGGTGGGGAGTCGGGGTTCGGGACGCCGGCCGGCACCCGCCCCTCGATGTCGCCTTACCGGCTTCCGGATGCTTGACGGGTTAATGGTAAAGTCGCTGTTATCGTGTCTGAACAGCGACACCACTCCTTCTGGGCAGCAGTAGGAAGCCCACTCTTCCACGCTGGCCGGCACGTCTTGGAGCTGCTTGGCCGTGGTGGCGGTTTGCTGCTGCGAAGCAGGAAGGCGGGACCCGCTTCGGAACCCCGCACAGCCTGAGCCGGCGGGGGCTGAACCCGGAGAGGGCGCTGCCGTCGGGGGCCCAGCGCTGCCTGGATCTGGGCCCTCCCGCCCCGATGGCACCCCTGCTCGTGGCCACCCTCCCTGTAACCCACACCACAGCCACGTTCACTGTCACAGCCAAACGCGCCCTGACATCACTTGCGAGAGCACAAAGAGGATGCTGTTGGCCGTGTGCACGGCCAGAGTCTTCCCGGGGAGCCAGTGCCTGCCACCCCGCGCTCGGAGGACGTGGTGCCGGAGCCCAGGGGGAGGCCAGCTCTGCACGGCCACCCCGGGATGCCGGTGCTTCCCCTTTACTCCAGAGAGCCGGCCTCCCACCCACACGCCTGCGACCAGACAGGAAACACGCGTCCTGGGTCACCCTCCTAACAGCCCGGGGGTGTCCTCCACTTTACGGAAGAGGACACTGAGGGACAGGGGGTCCATCAGGCCCCACAGCCTGGGTGTGTCCAGGCCCAGCCACGTGGACCCAGTCTGTGGCCCTGGCCTGCTGCTGTTGGGGGGCCCAGACACATCCCACACTCGAATGTGTGCGCGGTACCTGCTTGGGGTCTCTGCTCTTCTCTCTGTCCTTTTCCTTCTCCTTCTCTTTTTCCTTCCCCTTCTTCTTCTCCTTCTCTTTCTTAGGCAATAACAAAGGTGAGCTGACTGTTGCTTCTAGAATTTTACTTTCTGAAATTGCTTTTTCTGCTGTTAATAAAGACACCTGCGGAAAATGAAATCCGGATTCGCACCGTTAAGAGCAGCTGTGCACACGTTCCTGCACCTGCTCAGATCTGAGGGGCGGCTAGTGGTCCTACGGCTCTGAGGGGCAACCTGGTGTCTACTCAGGCACCAGGGCCACACCAGTGAGCCTGCCCCAAGCACAGGGGAATGTAGTGTCCCTCAGTGGATGGGACACTGCAGTCTCCAGGATGCCGGACCAGCAGGGACACAGAGCCGACCTCCAAGGAGTGCCTGTCACCTCCATGAAGTGAGTTCATGTCTTTAATTGAGAACACGTAGAAATTTTAGCTGTTCTCCTAAAAGAAGTGTTAAAGAATCCTTGTTTTGTGGACGGTGGGAGAGTGGACTGGGGCATCTTGAAGACCAAAGATGCCTTCCCAGTCTGTCTCATTCTTCCCACTGCCAAGGGGTGACAGTCCCACTGTCCCCCAGGCACATTGCTGGGAGGGTCGGGGGCATTGCCCTCAAATGTCCTCGAGAACCAGAAGCTCCAAGAGCTGCCCTGGGAGGGCCCTGTAAAGAGATGGTGGGGACGGGGGATGCACAGAAGAAGGTTCTGGAAGCTGAGGGCCAGAGTGCCGAGGGGCAGGCAGAGGCAAGCATGGGCTGGTTGTCCCCCACACACACCGTTGCCCTGGGGTACTTCGTGGTGGATGGGCCGGGGTGGTGGTGTGTTTCAGAGAAGAGTGTCCCTGGCCACTGCAGTGGGGGCAGGGCTGTTGTCTGTGGGTTGCACCAGACGGCGAGGCCCGTGGGCTGCAGGGGGAGGTGTTGGCTCCTGCCAAGAGCTGGGGACGGGGCAGCGAGCAGTCTGGCGCCTCACCTGCCAGATGCGCCTGAGGCACATGTAGGCCAGGAGGCAATATTCCTCATAGCCAGCGGCACTCGGGGACACCATCAGCGCCAGCAGGGTGTAGGCCCGAGCCAGTGCCTCCAGCTGTCTCACGTTCCGGAGCTCCTCCACGGGGACTGTCCCCATGTCCTTGGACACCATGCTTTCTGGGGCTTCCTGAGTGGACAGTGGCTCCTCTGCAACACAGGGGTGCCCCAGCCATGAGCCGTCCTGACCGGGCCCTTCTAGAAGGCATCCTCTGCCATCAGGGGCCGGGCCGGCCTCAGGGATACCGTCCCAGGGCTCCTGCCCCGGCCGCAGGTCCCAGCGGAGGCCGCGAGGACACGTCCACGCCGGGCCGGCCCCGAATCAGAGCAGACCGCACCCTCACCTGCCCCCTCAGGTGTGTCCCTGGCCGGGGTGATCAGCATCAGGATGTCGACCGCCCACTTCAGGTGGAAAATCACATCTTCCATAGGAAACTGCCTGTGGTACAGCCATTCACTGAGCTCCAGGATGTACTCAACTTTCTGCCACTCATTCTCTGGTTTCTTTGGGTCGAAGCAAAAAAAGACAGAAGAGACACGCGCTTACCACTCAGCATCCCCAACGCTGAGAAGGGCGGCGTCCGCTGCTTCCTTTTCTGGAAGCCAGTGGTGGGCCTCACCCGCCTCCACGCGGCGGGACCCGCTAGGGGGACATCTGCCGCCCACACTCGTTAGAACCTTTCTGTCGCTCATGGTTTTGTCCCAAGACCAAAGCCTGGCGCAGTCTCTCCGGGTCCTCCAGTCCCCGGCCTGTGCCCACCTGCCCCTCCCGGCGGCCCCCCCGCCCCGCCTCCTCAGCCGGGCTGTCTTTGGTCCGTGAGCAGCTTTGTTTCCTCAGAGGGGCCTTCAAACCTGTATGGGAGGCACACTCTGGATGGTTCTGCAGTTCAGCAAAGCTCCAGAGCCAGGGAAGACGCGGCTTCATCCCTCGGGCAGCCCCAGAGCCCAGCCCGAGGCCCGGCCCGTACACAGACTAGGTCACAAACCACGGCACGCGGCAGTGGAGCTGCCCCCCCCCCCCCCCGTCCTCCCAGAGCAGAGCCAGCCCGGCCAGTGGCCCCTCTGCCTCCCGCCTGCGGCGCCCCATGCCTGACCCCCAGCGAGTGGAGGGGGCGCTGCCGCCGTCTGTGGGGCGGGAAAGGCAGGGAGGAGGAGGGGGGCGCCGAGGAGCAGGAGTTCGACTTCGGGTGTTGGGCTGATGCATGGTGAGAGGGAAGGGGTGCGGGCGGGCAGTGGGGTGTGGGAGGCGAGGGGAGAGGGGTCCAGGCTGGACACTAAGCTGTGAGGTGACTCAGGGGGGAGGGGGCGTTCAGCCTAGGAGCCTGGCTGAGATCATCAGGGAGGAAGGCTTGTGGATGGAGGGAAGCCCAGCCCTGAGCCCCCGCCACCCCCCTCAGTCAGTGGTGGGGGGAGGAGGCTGAAAAAAACAATACACGGAAGGAGAGAAAAAGTTTACAAATCTTTTATCTGATCAGGGGTCGCGCCCGGGATGCACGAGGAAGTCCTACAGCTCAACGATAAGAAGAACCAAATGAAAACTTGGGCAAAGCATCAGAACAGACATTTTTCCAAAAAGGATAGACAAATGGCCAATACATGTATGAAAATGCATGCGTCAGTCACCCGGGAAATGCAATGAGATAGCTCCGTCGCCGCCAGTATGCTAGAACCAGGCAGCCAGGTGACAGTGTCACCCGGGCATGGAGAGACTGGAGCCCTCACCCAGCTGGTGGGAAAGCACTCCTGGAAGGTTAGGTGGGGAGACCCCACGGGGCCCCGCAGTTACGCCGCTCGGGCAGAGCCTAAGAGAAACGTGACCGTGTGTCCCCACGGGAAGAACACAGACACCCGTGTGATGGGAGAGCAGCAGCCCTGAGCAGGCGAAAGCACGCACATGGCCTCACACAGGAGGTCTGGACACCTTACACTGCGTGGAAGAAGCCGGTCACAGTGGACTCACCTTGTGCAACTGCACTTGCATGACATGTCCAGACAGAAAAACCCTTACAGGCAGACAGTGGACTGGTGACTCACTGGGGTTCGCGGTGGGAAGGACAGTGAGAACAGACCTACGGGGTTTCTGGGTGGTGATAAACTATTGTACCGTTGACTGTGGTGATGACTGTGACCTTGTGAATTACTAAAAACATCTCGTACCCCTGAGGAACAGGGAGCACGGGAGGAGGGGACTTGGGGTCAATGGGGATGGACAGCCTTTGCAAGAAGGCTGGTGCCTTTCTCTGAAGTAGTGGGGGCCACGCTGCCTGGCCCGGTGAACCTGATGGGGACCTTGGTCTTCACCGACCACTCAGCATTGACCACACAGAGCAGTGTCCTGACCCGTCCCAGTTAACTCCTTCCCGAGAGTCGCCCCACCCCTGGGACCCTGGCTCAGTCGAGAACCCTTCCAGCAGGACGTGCTCCATGAGAGAGACACGAGAGGTGCTCTCTGGAACAGGTATTGGGGCCGGGGAGCGTCTTCAGGACAACCTCAGTCCCCCCCTGCCAGGGCTTCCTTGTCCTTCCCTGAGTCCCACCTGCTCTGCACCAGGCACCTCCCCTCCCCCAATTCTGCCCCCGTGTCACTCCCAGTCTGCTCGGTTCTTGTTGGCATGGGGAGTCTCAGAAGGCTGCAGAGCCCTGCCCGCTCCGCAGCCCAGTCCAGCCTCGGGCGTCCCCTCCTCGGGTGGATTCCCTGCAGGAGAGGACGCCCGCCCGCCAGGTGCGTTCCTCCACACTGGGGAGGTGCGATAGAAGAGAGCGGTCTGTCAAGCGCCCTTGACCCATCAGAAGGGCACATGCCCTCCCTCAACTCCTCTGCTGGACGAGGAGGGGCTCAGCCTCCCCCCACGGGTCACGTCTCTACCCCAGAAGCTGAGTCGCAAGCCCCCGAAGCCCCGGTCAGACCTGCAGCGCCCGGATGGCATTGTGGTGGCAGACCAGCTGCCCGGACACGCTCCTTGAGTTCCAGGCCAGACGGCGCCACATGTGTGCCTGATAATCTTCCCTCTCGTCCTTGAACTTCTGGATTTCCATTGTGAAGTTCTGGCCAAGTCTGGCTTTCACAATAACCATATGTTTAAAAATCAAGCTTAAAAAAAGCAAAAGAGAAAAATTAGTGCTTGAAGGAAAAACAATTAAATATAGATGATGCATCTGAAACTAAGGAATTCGTGTCCCTTTTCCTAGTGACAAAGACAAAAGACAAACAACGGAGCCGAGTTCCTCGGCATCTGTGTGCAGCTGATTTCCCTCGGGGTGGGGAAAGAGAGCGGACTTGGGAAGGCGGCAGAGCCAGAGCCGAGGAGGGAGGTTCTGGGGAAGGGGAGGGGAGAGGAGGGAGGAGGGGAGGGGGCGGGGAGGGGGAAGGGAGGGGGGAGGGGGGGGGGCGGGGGGGGGGAGGGGAGGGGGCGGGGGAGGGCCGCGGGCGGAGCGCTCACAGGCGGTGGGCCGTCCGTGGCAGCACCTGCACGGCCTCGTCCAGCACCTTGAGGCCGCCCTCCCAGTCTCCGTGGTCCGCGTGGCAGTGGAACAGCAGCCCGTAGAGCGCAGCGCGCAGCGTCAGGTCGTCCTCGGCACCTGCGGTGGGAGGGGCCGGTGTGCGGGGCCCAGGCTGGGCGGCCCGAGGCCCCACCGCCAAGCCCAGTCGGCCTCACTGAGCCCCACGGAGCTTCCTCCGCCCGCAGGTGCCTCCTGAGCGCCGCCCGCCCCCCGCTGAGCTCGGACTCTGCGCCCCCGGACCCCAGGTCCTGCGGGGGTCCCTCCTCTGTGGCTCTACAGATCAGGCGGCCGGGGCCGCGCCCTTAGGTGTGGAGGCGGCCTGCGGAGGACGGAGACAAAACTGTCCTGTGGACTTGCCACCGCACATCCCTGGGCGCGCCCTGGCTTCCACACCCCGGGGTCCCACCTGAGCAGAGGCCCCGCCTTGGGTGCAGGACCCGTGGGGGCTCTGTTTGCCTGGTGGGCCCCGGAGCAGACGAAGGCCATGGCCGGGGACACTGCTGGCACCAGCACCCACTGCGTGGGACCTGTGCGCCCCCATGGCCTCTGCACGGCCAGCGAGGGGCTCTCAGTTGCGGGGTCCCTGCCGCCCACACCCAGCAGCGGGACCGAGATGCTGGTCAGCTTCTGGGACTGGGCCACAAGGGCTGCTCCTGCCTATCCTTTCAGGCCTGAGGGGCTGGGGGTCCTGCCCTGTGCCCCGCGTCTCTTCCGTCAGCGCCAGGAGCCCCGGTGTGCTCTTCCGCCGGAGCCTGTGGGAACTGTCAGGGCTCAGTGCTCTGAAGTCAGTAACACGTGGTCCTACTTTTCCTTATTTTAAATCAAGTTTCTCTCTCCGACAGACCTGAAGTTCTCGGGGACCAGACTGTCCTCAGCATTTACACTCCCCAGCAGATACTGCCAGATATACGGATGATTATTTTTCTCAGCAGAATTAAACATGAATTCTTAAATATGGTTTTACGTCCTAGTTCAGTTTGTGTTTTGGTTTGGTTTTGCAAGACAACATCTCCGCCTTGTGTGGAAGTGCAAGACTGTGACCAGTCTGCCGGGTATCAGAGGGGCTGGGTCCCACAGCAGCCACTAGGCTGAGCGAGCGGGCCCTGACCCCAGGGCGTCCAGGACAGGGCCCCTAGTTGGTGTCCTTGAGCACACCATGGGGCTCCATGAGGTTGTTGCCCATCACACCCCAAGTGAGGAGCCGACACCCCCCGTGGTCTCCGTCCGGATTAAGCAGGCTTCAGGCAAGGCTGTCCGAATTCATGGCTCGGCTCGGAGCACTTGCCTCTCCTTGTGCCTGCGGCCGTGTCTGTCTTGTGTCTACAAACCTGGGAGAAAGTGACCTTCTGTCATCCCTCCACTGTGGGAGTCCGCCGTAGGCCACTGGTGAAGAAGCAGCACCTTCCCTTTTCCCTGCAGTGGAAACAAGGAGACGTACATACAGGAAGTTGTGAATTACTCTTTCACCGTTTTGAGGTTTATTTGGCTCAGTACCTAATTACAGAAATTGCAACTAAATGTCTGAAATACTAAGTCATGAAAAGCGAAGTCACATTTCACCCAGGAGAAGAATCTCCCAGTGCCCGTGAGCCCGTACGCAGAGACCACCCCCAACACCCCAGCTTTTCCAATGACATGAAGTGTCCAAGTCCATTTTAGAGACTGAAATCAGTGGGATCAAAAGCACAGGAGAAAAAGCTTATTAAGAAGCATGCCTGGGTGGCCCAGTCAGAGTCTGACTGTTCGGTTTTGGCTCCATCCTGAGCTCAGGGTCCTGGGATCGAGCCCCACGTCAGGCTCCATGCTCAGCAGGGAGTCTTGGTAGGATTCCCTCTGTCCCTGCCCTGCTTGTGCGTGCTCTAAACAAACACAAATGACTTGTAGGAGATGCAAACGCAGCGCTCAGGGGCAAGTTTACAGCTGCAAAGGCCTACATGGAAACAGAAGAAAGATGTCAAGTGAGCAACCGGACTTTCCACCTGAAGGAACTAGAAAAAGAACAAACTAGACCCAACGCCAGCAGAAGGCAGGTGGTAATAAAGGCAGGTAGAATAAAGTAATCGGCAAAATAGAGGTTGGAAAAATAACAGAGAAAATCAACGAAAAGATCAAGTAAATTGACAAACCTTTAGCAAGACTAGCAAGGAGAAAAAGAAGACACGAATAACTAAAATCAGAAGTGAAAGTGGGAATTTCAACGCCAACCCTGGAGAGATAAGAAGGGTTCTAGGAGAACCCTGTGGGCTAGCGCGCATCAACCAACTACAAGACTGGAAGAAACGGGCAAATACCTTGAAACATGCACATTGCCTACACTGACTCCACAAGAAATGGAAAATCCCAACAAATGTACACAAGTAACAACTGAATCAATCATCAGAAACCACCCAATAAAGAAAAGTCCTGGACCCAATGGCTCGTGGTTGGATTCTACCAAATGTTTACACAATCGACAATAATCCTCCTCAACTTTTCAAACACTAAAGTGGAAGAAATACTTCCAAACTGATTCTGACACCATTACCTTGAGAGCAATCTAGACAAACACACAGCAAGAAAAATCATAGACCAATACCCATTAGGAATTTGGATGAGGGAAAAATCCTCAACAAAATTTAGCGAATCAAATCCATGACCACGTGGGGTTCATCCCAGGAGTAGGAGAGTGCTACCACGTAACATCAATCAATGTAAGACATCGTTAATAGAACGAAGGAGAAAAACTCCACGATCTTCTCAACTGATGGAGAAAGGCGTTAGACACAATCCAACAGCTTCTCATAAAATCTCAGAAAACTGGGAAAGATGGGAACATTTCTGAACACATGAAGGGTATTTATCAAACCCCACAGCTGACGTTGTGCTCAGTGGTGAGCAACTGAAACTCCTCCCCTAAGACCAGGAACGAGATGAAGATGCTTTCCCTGCTGCTGTTCAAAATTCTACTGGAATTCCAGCCAGAGTAACAAGACAAGAAAAAGAATAAAAGGTTTCCCAAAAGGAAAGAAGAGGTGAAACTCCCTCCCATTCACAGATGATATGATCCTATATATAGAAGAATCCCAAAAAGTTCCCAAGAAAATCATTAGAGCTAATAAATCAACTTAGAAAACCTGTAGGACACAATATAACAGTTCATGGTTTTTCTATATGCCAGGAACTAACAATCCAGAAAGGAAACTAGGAACGTGCTGTGCACTTACTTGTGTCCCCCAGCACTACCGCATTCACATGTACAAGTCTTCATCCCCAGTGTGCCGCTATCTGGGGGGTAATTAGGATTAGATGAGGTCATGAGGGGAAGGGTCCTTCATAAGACCATAAGATGAGACAGAAGAGATCTTGCTCTGTCCCCACATTGCCCCCAGAGGAGGACACAGCAAGAAGGCAGATGGATGCAAGACAGAAGAGGGCCTTCACCAGAACCGGGCCACGCTGGTTCCCTGGTCTCAGAATTCCAGACTCCAGAAGAACACGACACAAACTTCTTTTGGGTAAGCCGCCAGTCATGCAGCGTGTTGTTACAGCAGCCAGAGCTAAGACAGAAAGCAAATTCATTTATACTAAAGGAATTAAATACTTCCAAAGAGGTAAAAGACGTATCTGCCAAAAACGATGAAAACATCCCTGAAAGAAATTAAGGAAGACCTATATGAATGGGAAAACATCCATGTTCATGGATAGAAAGGCTTTAACATGTTCAACTGTACATATTACCCAAAGTGATCTAAAGATTCAACACACCCGCCTCAAAACTCCAACACCGTTTTTAGAAGAAATGGAAAAGCCAATCCTCAAATTCATGTGGAATTGCAAGTAGGCCCCAAGTAGCCACAACAATCTCAAAAAGGATTAATAAACTTGCAAGGCTCCTAGCTCCTGACTCCAAAATTTGTCACAAAGCTACAGTTGTCAAATCAGTGTGGCCCTGGCATTACGACAGACACACAGACCAGTGGAATAGAAGAAAGACCCCAGAAGTAAACTCTTCCGTAAATGGTGAAATGAGTTTTGACAAGGACGCCAAGATCCTTCAATGGGAAAAGAACAACCTTTTCAACAACTGGTGCTGGGACATGGGATTTTCACACACGATGGAACAAAGCCGTCCCCCTGCTTTACAGCATATACCAAAATTAACTCAAGTGGGGGAAAAACCCTGAACACAAGAGGTGAAGCTATAAAAGTCTTAGAAGAAAACACTGGAAAAATTCTTCATGACATTAGATTTGACAATGGCTCCGTGGATGTGACACCAAAACTTAGGCAAAAAGAAAAAAAAAATTTGAATTTCATCAAAATTAAGAACCTCTGTGCATCAGAAGATACCACCAAGGGAGTGAAAAGGCAGTCAAACAAATGGAGGAAAAAATCTGCAAATCTTATGTCTGATAAGGGATTAATACCAGAATGCGCAGAGAACTCTTTACAACTCAACAAAAAACAAACCAATTCGAAAAAGGGCAAGGAACTTGAAAAGATGTTTCCCAAAGAAAAGATGCAGATAGCTAAAATAAGCACATGAAAAGATGCCCTATCCTTAGTTGTAAGAGAAATGCAAATCAAAACCACAATGAGGTATAGGGGTCCCTGGGGGGCTCCGTCAGTTAAACATCTGACTTCCGTTCTGACTTTGGTCCCCGCCAAACCTCCCAGAGCCTGTCTGTCCGCTGGCCTTGGAGGCATCACTGGGCCTGGACTGAGGGCTCAAGAAGCTGAGATCATGGGCTCCTGCGTGGTCTGAGCACGGACCTCTGTCCGCCAACGACTTGGACCTGCAGGCCTTCATTTCGGAAGGATCCCGCTGAAAACTGCGGGTTTACAGGTAGGAGTGTGGCTTCCCTGGCAGACAGGAAAGATGCTGGAAGCCCTGTGGGGAGCTGAGTCCTAGGGCTGGGAGTCTCCAGGATGGGCAGAGGACACTCGTGGTCAGCAGGTGAGTGGGACAGTCCTCACTGACCTGCACACACCCTCTCAAACTGGGTCTGGGCCCAGCTCTGCCAGCCTGAGGGGCTGGTGGACAGAGGGAGCCACACAGGGATGATGCATTTACCAAGGCCGCCCATGCTGGTGATGGGGTGGGCATGGGGTGGAGCCAGGCCAGGACGCCGGCTCTTCTGTGGTTTTCCTCAACTGTCTGAGCCTCCTGCTCTGTTCCCATCTCCTCCGTCCCTTCCTCTCTCCTGCTGGAGTTTTCTGGGTACGGGTCAGTGTTCTCTAGGGGAGGAGGGAGGGAGGGGTGGGGTTTTGCCCAGCTGGGATTTTGGAAATGCCCTTGTCCTCCGGGCCCCCCACTCTGCTGGCCTTCACGTTCCTGGTTTCAAGAGCTCCATGGGGTCTGCCTTTCCTTGGGATCTTCCCCACCCTTTCTGGGAGAGGCCTGCCCCGCCGTGGCCCCACACAGCACACCTGCTTTTTCGCTTCTGTCTTGTTGATGATGCAGATGATCCGCTGTAGGACGTTCTTGGTTGTCCTCCTGCTAGCTGCGGAGGACAGGAACGGAAGCCAGGTGTTCCAGTAGTGCCTCACGGCCACCATCACCAGGGCGCTGCTCCTTGCAATGCCCCCAAACCTGAAAGGGAATTCCTGACCTGGCCAGGTGTAGACAGGGATGGACAGTGCAGCAGCAACACGTGAGGCTCCTGGATTTACAGGGGAGGAGGTGGGGTTGGGTGCCGTGAAAAAGCCCTCCGAACGGGCGCTCCCTCCCTCCAATGGCCACGCGGCCTGTGGTGACCTGCTCATGCCCAAGTGGGGGGGGGGTAGGTGTCACCACAAAGGGTGAGATAGCCCTGGCCATGGGGCCACCAAGGGAGAGCTGGCCTCAGCGGCAGTCCCCACTGAGCATAGTGCCCATCAGTTTGTGGCACTGCAGTCGCCACTCATCGCCCACACGCAGAGTGCACCCCACACCACCGGCCCGGAGCGCGGCACGGCGTACTTGGCACTCTCTATGAAGGCCTTGGCGGCTGCCAGGCGCAGCTGCTTTCTCCCCTTCAGGTTCTCCATGATGCTCCTGCCCTGGATGCAGGCTGTGGTGCTCAGCATCTCCGCCACCAGTTCAGTCTCGACCCTGGAGACAGAGAAGGGCCTCAAATGCAGGACGGCCTTCAGGGGAGACAGGTGCTCTGCAGGAAGGCGAACGAGCCCTGGGGCATCCACAGGAACCTCATGAAAGTCCCTAAGCCATAGCTAACTAGCTGAATCCGGTCAACCCACGGAACCATGACAAAGAATCATGAACTGGTGTTGAAATGACTCACTCGTGTCTCTGTCGTACAGCAGCAGTAAGTGAGCACAACAAGCCTGTCTGCTAGGACCTGCCCTTGTAGGATGGCCAAGTGCCACCCAGAGTCATGGGCCCCATCCCGTGTGCCCCAGTGTGTCTGGTCCCAGGGGCTGTCCACTGTGTGCTGAGAGCCCAGTCCTATACGGTTTCAGCTCAAAGCAACGTCAAGAATGTTGTGGGATCCCTTCTTCCTCAAGGTTTCCTATCTTAGCCACACTGTGGGTTGTGCACATACAACACCACATACACTAAGAGGTCACCCCCTGTCCAGTGCTGGAGGGGAGCAAATCCCTGAAACTCCACTTAGGGGGGGTACTGGATTTATTCTAAGAGAAATATACTGGCTCCCAGGTAGACTCCCTCCATGGGCCACCTGAGTCTATTTTTGAAGTGTCTCTGAAAACAGCTTCTAGTTGGGTCTGTCTTATTGGATCCAGTGGGGTGAACCCTGCAGTTTAACTGGAGAGCTGGTCCGCTTACATTTAGTGGATGTGTGGATGCAGTTGGGGTGGAATCTTCCACTTTGCTTTGCGGTCCTTTCGTCCCATATGTTCTTCCTTTCCTCCACTTTTTTGGGTTAATTGAATATTTTTTGGCATTCCGTTTTATCTCCTCTATTGGATTTTAGTTATACTTTTTAATTATTTTTAGGGACTCGCTCTAGAGATCACAACATACATTCTTAACTAGTACAGTCTATCTTGAATTAACATCTTATCATTTCACAGGTGACATCCAAACTCTGAACAGTAAACTTCTGTGTACCTCATTCCTATTGTTTGTGCTATCGTGGTCATGCATTTTACTTCTACATTTATTAATAATTCCACAATTCAATGTACTTTGGTTTTAAACAGGCAAGTGTCCTTTAAAGGACCGACGAACTGAAGGTGGGAGCCTTTCATGTTTGCTCACACATTCACCACTACGGGTGCTCTCCACAGCTTCTTGGGCCAACTTTCCACCTGCTATCATCTTCCTTTAGCCTGAAGAATTTCTTTTGGCATCTCTTCTAGGAATGGATTATTTTACCTTTAATTTATCTTAAAACATCTTGATTTTGAGTTCATTTCCTGAAGGCTATTCTTGGACATGGAATTCTAGATTGACAGGTTTTTGGGCCTGTGTGTGTGTGTGTGTGTGTGTGTGGTTTTTTTGTTTGTTTTTGTTTTTAGCATTTAAAACGTTAGGCAGTCTGCACTGTTTCTGCAGAGAAGTCTGCAGTTTTGACCTTGCTTTCCTGTACGTAGTGCATCTGTTTGCCTTCTGACCGCTTTCTAATGATTTCTCGTTACCTTTGGTCTGCAGCAGTCTGACTACAGTGAACATGGTGTGGTTTTCTGTGTGTTGATCCTGCCTGGGGTCATTGAAAGTCTTGGATCTCTGGGTTGATGTTTTTAACTGAATTTGAGAAAATGTAAGTACGTATATTTCTGCCTCCCTTTCTTGCCTCTGTCCTGAGACTCCCATTAGGTGTGTGTTGGGCCACTTGATTCTGCCCTGAGTGCTGCTAAAGTGATGTGCACTTTGCTTTTCTGTCTTTTCTCCCTGTGCTTTAGCTTCAGTGCTGTGTTGACCTGCCGTCAGAGTTACTACCACTTCCTCAGTGTTTGGACACTAAGCTCTCCCAGTAATGTTTGCAGAGACTATATTTGTCAGTCCTAGAGTTTCCACTTAGTTCATAACATTTTTCATTTCTATGTTGAAATTCCCCCTTTGTACACTAGTTTTTCCACTAAAAATACATTCTTATATTTATAATAGTTGTTTTAAATTTTAAATTTGTTGTCTGCTAATTCCAAAATTTGTGTCATATCTGGATCTGTTGACTGTTTCTAGTCAATTTTGTAAAGATCTATTTTTATTTCAGAGAGAGAAAATGTGGGCAAGAACAGGGGAGAGAGGCAGAGAGAGACAGAGGAACAGACTTCCCACTGAGCAGGTAGCCCAATGTGGGGCTCAGTCCCCGGCCCTGAAAACAGATGCTTAACCCCACTGAGCCACACAGGCATCTGTTTCTATTCTATTGACTGTGTTTTCTCCTGGTATGGAAGGGCATTTTCTCATTTTCCCATGTGTCTAGTAATTTTTTATCTTATGTTGGACACTTAAGGGCTATATTGTTGAGAGTACACTGGTGAGAGTGTGGGTGGTGTTGCCTTCCTTGAAAGGAAGGCTGGGTTTTCTTCTGACAGGCAGTTAATCTAGTGGCGGTTCCGCTTATCTTCTCAAGATCTGAGGGAGGCTTTTTAGGGCAAGTCTACAGTAGCCCTTATAGCCCTATTCTTAAGGTGTGATCTCCGTGAATGCCTGGCAAGTTCAGTGAAGCCCCCCCCGACCCTTGTTGGTCAATTCCACCATCTCTCTTGATCTTAGAGCCCACATGTCAGTGCCTGTGAGCACACATGCTCTGTCCAGGAACCTCCTCTCTCACATCACACCCTGCAAATGCCTGCTGCCCGGGCAGCCCCCTACACGGATCCCTGTTTCACTCCAGTATGTCTTCTGTCTGGGATCCACTCCTCAGCGCTGGTTAGGCCAGCCCTGCAACCCCACCTGGCAGAGAGTGAGTGTGAATGTGGAGCCAGCCCACTTTTATGTTCCCTCCTGCAAAAATTTCTGCTTTGGACCATCTGTCGTCCAGTGCCCAAAAATGATTACTTCATGTATTTTGTTAAGTCTTACAGTTTTGTTTTGTTGTTTTTTTTTTTCACAGAATAAGACTATAATATCTGTTACTATACCATGGCCAGAAATGGTAGAAAAGGGACTTTCAAATTTATATAAAGACCCAACATTGATGATTATGTTAAATAAAAATGCTGAACAAAGTAGAAATGTCCCAAATACTCTTAGACTACTTCCTTTTAATCTATTTTCTGTCTATTTTAGGGATCCACATGAAATTTCTCACTAATGTATATTCGTTTACATTGATAGTGTGAATGTGAAAATTATTCTAGTAACTGAACACTTGGAGGTGAAAATAGGAGTTGATTAGCAACTGAAATTTTTCATTAGGAACTAAAAATTACATTTACTCTTCAATGTAAGTGCTCTTATAAAATTACTCTGTGACCAATCCCACAGTTTCTCCAAGTAATAGCAAAATGGAAAAATTAGCACAAAAATTTGAAATATGTGTAAGTAAAACAAATGAGCCATCTGCAGTGCACGCCGTGTGGCTGAGTGTGACCATGGATCCTGCCCAGGTTCAGGGTCCAGTGCTCTGAGTGACCAGAAAGATCACTACAAGTGTGGCACCTCTTACAGAACCACCGCGCTCCCGTCTCTCTCTCCAGCCGCCTAGCGCCCAGTACCGCGCCCAGACACGGCCAGCACCACGTGTGCTTGGACTTGCGGTCAGAACCGCAGTCAAACCCAGCGGCTGGGTAGGCAAGTCCACAGGGTGCAGGGACACCAGTTACCACTAGAGGGCAGCGACGTTCTACAAATGAGTTTTTGGAAGCTAATTTTTATCTTCGTAAAAGATTTGTCATTTTAAGATAAAACTCAATTTAAGAATCACTGATGCAGAATGGCAAAGCCAGGGCCCACGTCCTTCCTTACCTGGCCGCGCCCTCCTGACCAGCCTTCAGCCAGCAGCGAAGGACGTTTAGCCCCACGGCAGGAGGACCAAGGCAGCAGCTCCCCCAAACCAACTCCTACAACAACGTCTCCGCAGTGTCTCTTTTCAAAACAACTTCTGAATTTCTATCCAGGTGGCACCTGCACATGGCTGGGAAGAAGGGCCTCCTACCTGGCTCCCAGGGCTGCTCCCCGGAGGGAATGATTGCGACGTACCTAGCCCTGGCCGCCAGCAGGCACATGCTGGTCTCCGGACCCTCGCCTCTCGCTTGCTGCCCAGCGGACCGACGTCACACGTTACCTGTGGAGCTCTGGCAGCCATCCACGGGAGCTTAAGTCACTCAGACGCCCCCTTTGCCCTCTTCCCAACTTAGGAGTATCGTTGATTATAGCATGACTTTAATTCCCCTATTCATCATCTTTGTACCTTAAAATGTTACACCAGCTCCAGGTCTCATGGACCCTGAGCCGGTGACCCACGACCGCTCACCTTCTCAAGCAAGGACGTTACCACAGCCATTCTCCTCCCTTCCAGACACTCGCCTGCCCTGCTAAAGTGTATCGTCAGGACTTCTACTTTTGTATTGTCAGACCTGATAACCACAAAGAGGTTTCCTTTGTCAAAACGTTAGTCCTAAAACTAAAATATCAGTGAACACCATGATAACGCAAATGTTTTCCACCGAGGAGTCAAGCTGTGTACGACTCTTGTGTCTTCTGGAGTTTCCAACTGGCTTTTCTCCATTGTATTATTTTCCTGTGGCACAACACGTCAGGTCCCCGTCTTCACTGCCCCCACTCGCCAGGCCAACTCTGTCCCGCTGTCCTTTACACAGGTGGCTCTCTCAGCTGCCAGCAAAGCTTGACAACTTTTCTGGGTTGAAACTATTATTTCCAACATCCCACATTTTTCTTTTTTGGTTTATTCCCTTGTTTTTCTGGAGCATATCCTTCAAGGAACTTTCTAAAAACAGGTGTGTGGCACATGTATATTCTAGGTCTCTGCCCGTCTAAAAATGGCTTTCCATACCCAGACTTGACTAAAAGTTTGGATGAGTTAGAATTCTAGGTTTTTAAAATTATTTCCACCTAGAAAGCTCCATTTTCCCTCCACCTTCCAGTGACGGGTTCTCAGAAGCCTGCAGCCCTTCTGTCTCCTGCGACCTTGTTGGACACTGTTGGTGGTGACTCGGCGTGTCCACAGGGGCCACACGCGAGGGTCTCTTCTCTGCCCTGCTGCTCGTGGGTGGCAGGGCCATTCACGATGTAGGGTGTCTGCCCATCTCAAACTTCTTTCTCAAGGGCACGCTCTGCTCCTGCTACGGTTCTGAAAGTTAAACTCCCCACGTGTCTTCCAGCTTCTGTCACATGTTCTGTACGTCTGTCCATTTTCATGTATTTCCCATGACATTTCCTCACACTTCTTCTGCACCGAGTTTGTGCCCAGCAGAGCTCGATCCTGTGCAGCTCCCGTCCCACAGCAATGCTGTGCGTTACCTCCAAGCGCTGCACCTTCCCGGTGTGCCGGAAGGTTTTTCTCGATGTTCTCCTCCGACCATCGTGCGATTGTACATCCCAGTAACTCTCCCTATTCAAGCCTGTGGCTAGGATGCTGCTGGGGAGCTCCCGGGACAGGGCTTTGGCCCACCTGCTGCTGGATGGGCGCTCCTGGGGCCCCACGTCCTGCAGGCAGCCAGGTGCTCCGTGGAGGCCACCCAGGAGCCAGTGTGGGCAGAGTCTCCTTGCAGCCCTCAAGCCGTAGGGCCTGAGACCGCCCCTCGGTCCCCGTGTGTCTACCCCGTCCCCCCCTGGCTGCTCCAGGAGCGAGCTTCCTGTGCCCCTGTGTGGTCAGAGCTCCTCTTCACGTTGGGTCTCCTGCCTCGACCCGCCCCTTCCCCACACCAGGCCTCTGCCGTCCCATCTGAGGAGGGCGGGTCCTGGGGGCCTAGGCTGTCCCAACCCGGTCACCACGCTGTGGCCACCCCCAGGGTAGGGGTAGAATGGAAAGTCAGCGGCTGGAGTGTGTGAGCCTGTCTTCTGTGTGCGGGGCGGCGGGTTCTCAGAACGGGAGCTGCCCCCACGACGTCTGATTCTGGGGGAAACTATGTGAACTAACCAGATACGAGGGTTCCTAGTCCAATTCAGATGGTTTTCCCAGGACTTTCCAGAATCAGACCTTGTTCCTTGGGCCCAGGCCCTTGGAGTCGCCTCAGGGGAGGGGAGCCTCTCCTGCCCCCAGCTGCCCCACATTCCGGGAAGTCCCGTCAGTCACCCTGCGCGGCGCCCGTCTTGGGGACGCACACTCACAGGGACCACGGCTGACTTCTGGAACTTGCCAGCTTGCTCCTGCTCACAGAGAGGGTGCTGTGCTCACGTCCGAGAGGCGGCGCCAGTGGTCTCTAGGAGCGTGGGCTTGTAGAGCCAGACGCTGGGGCCCCATCCCAGCTCTGCGCCTGCCGGCAGGGCCCGTGAATCGCCCTCAACCTGCCTCAGTTTCTCCCATCAACGTGGGAGCCGTGGTGCCTAGCAGAGAGCTGCTCCGGGGGGGGAGTGAGGCAGCGCCGCAGGGCCCTCGGGCGCACTGTGCCAGCCCCGCGCTGAGGCCCTGGCCACGGGCTGGCCGGCGCCGTGCAGACGTCTCGGTGGCTTTCACCTGTGGCCCCAAACGTGCATCAGGCGTGTCTGACGAGGGCCGTGGAGCGGCCAACCTCTGGCAGACGCGTCCCCATCCCCGTCCCCGGAATTTGGCATGTGGGACAGACCGCTCCCAATGGCCTGTGGCAGCGGGCAGCCTGCGACAGGGACGCAGTCCAAGCCCGGGGATGCGTAGCTGTCAGGAGCAGCTGGGGCTTGGCCTCGGAATGCCAGACCGGCTGCTTGGCCGCCACGAATGATTTCATACGCTTGGGTCCGTGATTTCATCATTTCCAGAAAAGAGCCTGAAAAGAACCTCAAGGAAACCCGTCCTCGCCTCAGAAACTTTCACCACGGCAGCGGACGTGAGGCAGCCTCGCACTCACGGGGAGGGAAGGCCTCCGCTTGCCTGCGGCCTGGGGGAGCTGTGGCCGGCGCCAGGCAGGGACCGCTGTCAGCCTGTGGCCTACTCAGGGACCAAGTCAGAGCTCTGGGTCCATCGGGAGCGGCACATGACGCAGCCGGGAGCCCCTTCCTGCCTCTGTGCCCCTCACGTCGCAGCTGGTGAGGCTGGCGAGGGGTGGGTGTCTTGCTCGGTGACCCCTGCCGACCTTGCTCCTTGGCCCCGCACACTGACGTGCGACACGGAGGCTCCGCGGGACGTCCCTGCCCCCCCAGCCACCGGGAAATGAGCGTCCCCGGGACAGCGAGTCAGGTCAGGAGGGCACTCACGGGTTGCACGCCCGCAGGTGTCTGATGCCCATGTGGGTGGCCTTCTGCGAGCAGAGCATGGTGAGCTCGTAGTCGTGTGCCGCGTGGGCAAGGTGCGTGAGCCGCATCAGGGTCTGTAGCTCCACCAGCGGGTCGGGCCAGCTGCACTCGGACGCCACCCTCACCAGCTTCGGGGCGGGGGAAGGCACGTGTGAGCGCGGCTACGTGCCCGGCGCCGAGCGCGGAGGAGGCACTCGGGGGAGCTCCCACACGGGCCCAAACCGGGTGCCCCGCACCCCGGTGCTGAGTGCTGTGGCAATGACAGGGTCACGCCCCGGGGCGCCAGTCTGCCCCCTCAGGCGAGGCCCCCTGACCCTGGCTCCACATTGGAGCCGCAGGTTCCAATGAGCGGCCTCGGGTCAGGGGACTCCTACCTGGGCCAGGGGGGGCACGGCGAAGTCCATGAGGCCCAGCCCGTTGCAGGAGTACATCTCCAGAGCGACGAGGACCTGCATCACCGAGTTGATGTCCTCGTTGGGACTCTGGGGGAAGGAAGCATAAGCATCTCCAGCCCAGGGGTGCCGGGACACGCCGGGACACGGCAGCACAGCGGCAAGGACCAGAGCCACCGGAGGGTCTCTCCAAGATCCGTGTTCAGCCGCCAGCAGGCAGGAGGGCTGGGCCGTGGCCGGGTGCGGCTCCACCTGCTCCGCAGCCCAGGGTCCCCGTCTGTGGGAGCAGAGGCTGCAGGCCCCCGCCCCACTCCCACAGTCTCGGTGGCTCCCTCTGGCCTGGGTGCGCCTCTAGGTAAGGCCACAGAACTAAAGAGAGGATGTTGCGGCCCACGGCAGTGACCTCGCTGGGGACAGACCTTCCCAGAGGGCAGGGCTCCTCTACAGCATGAGGGAGCGCGCCCCCACGCGCGCCACCGTCCCGTGGGGGAGATTTCAGCAGGAGGCTCCTACCCAGCTGGCCCGGGCGCATGGGGACCAGCCCCTTCGGGCCCCCGGGGCCCCCCGACCCTGGCCCGCGCCCCGCGGCCACGGCACCTGCTCGTTCACGCCCAGCCGCGGCCCGACCTGCTGCTGCAGCAGCTGCTTCCCCTTCACCCAGGTGGCGACGAGCTGCTGCTGGGCACTGGTGGGCACCACCTCCTCGGGCACAGACCCGTCCGTCAGGCTCAGGGCAAACTCGCAGACCTAAAGCCGACAGGTCCTTGCTCACGGGGCCCGGACGTTACAGGAAAGCCCGAGCCAAGACCCAAATGATGTGAAAGCAAGTGCACGTGGCTCCGGGTCAGGCCGCATCGGTGGCTGAAGCAGACACCAGTCCCGACGCTGGCGGCCCGAGCCCCTCCCCCCGGGGGCCCGGAGCGTCCCCAGAACATCCAGGGCTCTGCACGTTCCCCTCCCTGCCCGCACCCGCTTCCAGCTCCCAGCTGCTCTGCCACCTGTCACCTCCGCTAACGGGCGCGGGTCCCCCGGCCTCGCGTGGGGTGCTTCTACCTCCACGGCGGTCCTGACTTCAGAGCTGGCCACCGAGTCCAGTGGGGCGTGAAACAGGTTTGAGCGAAAGGGTCTTTTCGATTTTTCTGGCACGTGGGCTGGAATCCACTTAATGATCAGGCCTCGGGCCAGCGTGTTACAGAGCATGGCCAGCACGGTGGGGTGTCTGGAAAGCAACGTGCCGGCGGTGAGGGCGCGGCCGCTCGCACAGAGGCAGACGTGGGGCCTCAGGAGACGCGGGCACCTCAGGAGTCCCGGCCCCCATCTCACGGGACCAAACGACAGGCGCTCGTGGTTCTAGCCCTAGGCCATGGGGCTGTTCTCAGACCGTCCAGGGGACGCTGGCTATGACGAGGGCCACACTGGGGACACTTCAGTCCCCCACTGCAGGTGGCCTTTGCACTGAAAGGGCCCCCCCATGCCAGGTGGGTGGGCTCCTCAGGGCTGGGACATCTGTCCATCCGGCCCAGTCGTGGCTCAGGTTAGAATTGTTGAAATGGCCTCCCTGTGTCAAGAATCAGGGACTCAAAGTCTGCTCCCCGTCCACAGCAGCAATCTGCAGGAGAGCGGCCGAGAGGGGAGAAGTGGGTGTCCACGGGGTCCAAGTGGGCGCTCGAGTCGGAGGGGCGTCCCAGGGCCTGCTGAGCAGCTCTGGGTCTCAAGGCCCACTTTTGTTACTTGTCACTTAAAAAATCCCCACATGCTGCCGCGTCCCGACCCACAGCAACGTCTCTACCTCAGCCTCCAATGCGAAACTCACGTCTTATTGCTCCAACCAAACGCCAAACCAACAACAAGAAAAGAGAGTTCGCAAGCGTCATCCCTGTCAGAAAACCCTGACCAGACCTGATGCTTTCCAATGTCTCGTTTTAGCTCCTCGTTCACGTCCAGCTGGACAAGAAATCACAGGCACAGATCCTACCCCTCTCCGACCCTCCCCGAAACCAGCGCGAGACTCCTAGATGGGGTTGCTCTTTCCGTCCCTTCTCCTAGGGGACTCGGGTCTCAGCAAATGTTCCTTAAAATCCTTCAGTTTGGAAAACAGTGAGGCGGGCGGGATTCTGCATGGGGCGCTGTGGGGGCAAAGGTGAGCCTCTGCTCAGGGCGCACAGCTCGGAGACAGAGCCTGTGCTGGCTTGAGCAGCCCTCAGGTTTCCCCGCGTCCCCATCACCGCCACACACCAGCCCACCGCAGCCCCGCCACTCACTGGAAGGACGGCACGGACCATGGGGGCGGGTCTCGGGGCACCCGCCCCACAACAGACCCACATGTGACCCCAGAGTTGCCAGGCCTGAATCGAAGTCTCAGGGCATCAGGAGGGGGACAGCCCCAGAGGTCAGGAGTGCACGAAGCATCCATGGGCCACACCTACCCGCTGTGGCCCGTGGCCTTGACAATGCTCAGGAGGTGGTCCAAGGTGTCCACGAGCTCCCTCTGCCTCCCGGCCACAATGAGGTGGTAGTTGTGGTTCAGGACGTAGACCACCGCGTTCTGCACGATCCAGCCCTCCTGGAGCTCTCGTCCGATCTCGGCGGACCGCAGCCAGCTGTTCATGGCGCTCTGCGACAGACCCTCGATCCAGGTCCTGCGGACAGCACAGCCCGCCGAGCCCTTGCTCAGACGGCGTCACAGACGCAAACACAACACCTGCTGACGGCCCAGCTCTCCGCGGCATCTGGGGTCACAAAGGTGCCCCTGCCGGGGCTGCCTGCTGGAACCCGCCGTGTTCCCACCCGGGGCGCTGCCCTGCCCAGCATATCCCGTCCCCCAGCTGGACGTCCTCCCTCGGCACTGAGTTCCCAAACCTCAAACCTCGGTCTGGGCCACCAGCCGCCCCTCGCCCTCTGCGGGACGGCCCCTTCTCTTGAACCTGTGGTCCCAACGCCTTAGGGTAAGGGGCCAAATGGCAAGTACCCTAGGCTTTGTAAGCCGTGGAGTCTCTGTTGCCCATTTTTCTCTATTTTACTTCACAGACTTTTAATACGTCAAAAACACTCGACACGTGGCTGTACAGAAACATTCGTGGGTGAGGCGTGGCCCGGGCCGTGGCTTACTGAGCCTCCTGCAGCACAGGCAGGCCCCTGCCACGTGGCAGCAGGCTCCCAGGGACGGGGCCCTGGGCCGTGCTCCGTGGGATACCCCGAGGACTGAGGCAAAGATGCCGTCCACATAACAAACACCAAGACAAACATTCCGAGCGCTAAACGCGGGGGCCGCCCTCCACGGGAGCCTGTTCACGGTGTGGAACCCGCGGGGGAGCGGCTCACCGGCCCCCCAGTGAGGGAGAAGGGTCGCGGCTCCTGCAAGACACATTGACGCCCACTCGGTACCACGTTCTCTTGCAGGAATACTCAGCTTTAGACTAAACGTGACTAAAACCCACCACCGTTAAACCAGCACCGCGAACTATGAATGCTTCCGTGGCCGCAGCTCACGTGGCACATCTTCTGGGCTGTTGTACACAAAGTGCTCCTTCCTGTCCACGTGCACCATGACTGAGGCCCAGACGCCACGGGCAGAGCTGACCACGGCTCCTCCCGTGAGCAGAGCCGCTCCCCTCCGCACTCCGTCTCTGGTAACACACTGACTGGGAGGAGCCACGTGTGTCACACGCAACACAAGCAACGGCCCTGGTCTGGGCACAGACACCCCGAGTCTGGGCCCGGCCGCCCTCGGCCCCCCAGCCTGCACTCCGTGGCCAAGCCGTGCCCGCAGCTGCGGGGGTCGCCTGGGCCCCCTCGGGCCACCTACTGGTACGTGATCCACTGCGCATTGTCCTCTGGGGACTCCACCGTGTAGCCGGCTGAGTGCTGGCTCAGGTCCTCCGGGGGGCGGGGACGGTTGTTCAGCTCCACACCCTCCGAGCGCAGCAAGTGCACCGTAGCCTGCGAAGGAAGCGTGCAGCACGAGCGGTCACCGGCGAGGGCACCAGGCGCCGGGGGGGACGCACAGTCAGGCCTGAGGGGGGCAGACCCTGTGATGAACCCGTGGTCTTCTTGAGGGTCCTCCCCAGCCCCCATCTGCCCCATGTCCCCCACACATACGGCATCTCAGGAAGAGGAGGCCCCGTTCTAGGACCACCGTCCCGGTCACGCCATCCCTCGGACGTCACTTCTGAGCGTCTGCTCCCCAGTCACCCCACGAGTGTGCACAGACACTGGTGGCTGCTGAGGGCACCGGCACGGGCGGAGGGGCCGCACACAGGGGTGGGGTCGGGACGCTCCTGCCCCCACCGGCTGTCGGCTCCCCGCACCGGGCTCTGCCCCAGGCATCCCCGTGTCCCCAGCTCATGGCCCAGACACAATCATCCAGTGAGGGCTCCAGCCACATCCCCCACTGACCCCAAGACGAACAGGCCAAGGTGGTCCCGAGAACGATGACGCTACGGAAGGTCAGCAGCGACGCCGCCCTGGGAGGAGGGGCAGGCGGTGCGGTGGAGACCGCGGTCCCAGCCCGGCGCCGACCCTGGGGTCTGCGTGTGCTCACTGCGGGACGCACCAGTGAACCCCAGAGGGTCCAGCCCTGCTCCGGTGAGAGCAGAGGAAATGCACAGCCCACGCAGAGAGCCGCTGAGGGGACGCCCCGAGAGCACAGCCATCGCCTCCGTGCCTGTGAAACGGCCACAGACGCAGAAAGGGCTTCCACGGAAGGACGTGGATTGACACAAGATCGTGACCCATCTGTGAACCCGGGGAGGCGCCCCTCCTCCGCCCGGTGCTTCGGGAGCCGGTCGGGGGGTTGAGTGCGCAGCCCAAGCCGCGGGGCAGGGCCGCACCTCCGCGCTGATGAAGCCCACTTCCGCAAAGGTGCGCAGCAGGCTGGGGCTCGCCTGCCTCTGCAGGGTGACCTCCGACGGGCCCCCGGTGTCCTGGGCCGGGCTGTCTCCACCCTTCCTCTTCTTTCCTGAGGGAGAGCGCGACGCTGGAGCTCTGGTCGGACATGCTCGTCGTTACTAGCAAACGACATACAGGGATTCCCGGCCGGAAGGGGCCGGAGGAAACCCCCATGGGCAGGCCCCCCAGGGAGGTGGGAAAGCCCCCCCCCCCGCCACCGACAATGCGTTCCTGGTCTGGCTCACGCAGTCTCGCCTCTCGAGAAGCCCTGCCCCCCAAGCCTGCGGCACCCAAGTCCCCGACCACGTGGGACCCCTGGCACGTCCCTGTGTCCTAAGTGCCCCCTAGATCAGAGCTGCTGCAGGGAGCCACCCCCACACTCCCGAGAAGCCCACTGGCCCAGATCGGCCCCCACCTTCACGTCGCCCCTGCCCTCCAGCCCAACGGGTCCCCGTGAACTGGGGTCCAGCATGGGCGCACCGACCTGGACCCCGGCCTCTGGCGGGAGCCCGTCCCACCGAGCACCGTGCGGACAGCCCCTGCCCAGCCACTGCCCGCAGCTCCAAGGCACCGGGCCCGGGTACCTTTCTTCAGCCGCGCCAGCTTCTTCACCTTGACGTTGTCGTACAGGAGGCAGAAGCGGCTCGCCGCCCGGCAGACGTCCCACACGCCTTGCTTCCGGGACACTTTGGCGAGCTCCGCCCAGATTTGGATTCTGCTCACCGGACGGGAGGAGGTGGACACATGAGCAGGGGCGACATCAGGACCCCCCAGCGCGAGGGGCCGCCCGGTGGACCCGCAATGGGGCGGCGGGTGCCCCACGTGCTTCCCTCAGGACCATCTGCCCCACAGATGCATCCCAACAACCCAGCCCAGCCGGTGCCCACGCCTGTGCCATATCACCCACCTCTCCTTGTCGTTCTCGGTCCCCAGACGCCGCAGGTGCCCAGCGGCTTTGTCCACGCTGACCATGTGGTGCCGTGCCTTCGCAAACAGGTAGGTGAAGCGGCCCCTGACTTTCCCCATGGACACTGAGGGTAGACGGGGAGATGCCAGGCTCACGTCACAATGTTCGGGGACCACAGGACTGGGAGGAGCTGTGTCTCTGTCCTGGGGACCCTGCGCCGTGAGCACAGCCACCGTGCCCAGCAGCCTGGGCTCCGCGGTCTGGGGGGCTCTCCCTCACCCCGGCCCCTGCCCAACCACCCCGCAACCCTGCGGTCTGCTGGGTGGTGGGCCGTGCCCAGTGGCACAGGGCGTGTGCACGTGCTGCCCCCTCTCAGCCAACATGCCAGCCACCGCTGGCAGCTGGCCCAAGGAGCCCCTTGAAGGCCTCACCAGGCTGGGCCATGGGGCCCTCTTCAGCTGGGTCACTGGCAGGCCAGCAGCACGCTGGCTCATCAGAGCTGTCAGGACCGCCAACACAGCCCCACACTGGCCGGGGCAAGGTGGAAACCCAAGGTGGCACCACCAGGCCCCGGAGAAGCCTGAGGCCAACAGAAGGCCACGTCCTAAGAGCAGTCCTCTCCCCAGCGCCGGGGCATGCCAGCCGCGGGGGCAGAGCCTTGGGTGGGCTCCACAGTCAGGCACGACCCTGCCATCTACAGGATGTGATGCACTGGGCACGTCAGTGATGTGGGCAGAACTATGCGATGAAGCCCTAACCCCAGGACCCTAGTGACCTTATTTGTGTCTTTACAGGGGCAATCCAGTTAAAATGAGATCGTGAGGCCGGCCCTAATCTGTTATGACAGATGTCCTTAAAAGGGAGGAACTCTGGAGCCAGAGAAGCAGGTACAGAGGGAAGATGGTGTGAAGACACAGAGAAGACGGCTGTCTGCACGCCAAAGGGGGCTGAAGCCACCCTCCGCCCAGCCCCGGGGGTAGCTCCTAGCCCTGCGGACCCCTGGTCAGGAGCCCTGGCCTCCAGCGCATGATGGTCAGTCCTGCCATGAACAAGGTCCTTGGGGACAGCGGCCGAGCTGAGACCCAGACTGCACGCATGTCAAGGCCGGGACGGGCGGGTTCAGATCTCGGGTGGGGCGCAGCCTGGTCCCCACGTGCTGGGCTGGGGGGTCAGCCTGCGGACGGCAGGGGGCTCAGGGCGGCTCCTGAGCAGAAACACGCTGGGCTCCACAGGCGAGGCAGCGCGTACCTTTGGCCTCATTCTCACTGTCGAGCACAACTTGGAAGGTGTCTGGGGCCAGTGCCAGGCCCGCGTTCACCAAGAGAGCCCGCTTCTTCCTGACGCTGTCTTTGGGGACAGCCTTCTTTGCCTGCAGCGGGAAGACACGGTGTGACGGGCGGGCCACTACATCACCTAAACGGACCCTGTCCCAGGCTGCTCGGCCGGCCCCATCCCTGGGCAGCCCCACGGAGCCTGGGTCAGCACCTGCTCAATGGCCATGATGGCCTTGTCCTCGGCACGCTCGGGGCACTGGTACAGCATGGTGCACAGGCGCAGCCGGTTCAAGGCCCTGGTGAGCGTGTCCTGGTAGAGGCCGAGGCTGTCCAGGAGCACAGCCTTCTGCAGGTGCTGGATGGCCGGTTCCAGCCGGTCCTCGTCCTCCTCAATGTGCGCCATCTCCATGTGCACTTGACAGCGGAGCAGGACCATGAGGCTGGGAAGGACAGCACGGTGTGACGCAGGCCTGGGCGCGCTGACCTGCCATGAGACCCCCCTGGAGCCTGGGCTTCCCAGCGTGCTTCGGCTCCCACCGGCTTTGCCTGGAGGCCTCGTTCGGGGACAAGCAGGGAGGCGCCTGCAGGGTAGCTGTAGCGCCTGGGCTCTGGGGCTGAGGAGCAGCAGGTCAGCGGACGGGGAACCGTGCGGTGGGACCTGCTGGGTAGGGGCTCAGCAGACACGGGAGGCTTGTGACGCTGCCGCTACCGCCTCTGGTCATCGGACCCGTCCCACCTGCGTGCCTGCTGCTGCCTGCTGCCCGCGACAGAAGTCTGCTATTTGCCTCCCGGGATGGGGCCCTGCTCTGGTCTCAGCAGCTCAGGGACACCCCCCAAGGGCCCTGCCCCCTGCCTGGCCGCTGCTCCGGCTGCTGCCTCTGCCAGTGTCTGCACGTGTCATGGAAGTGTCCTCGGAGCTTTTCCATCACCAAGAGGCAGAGACCCACATCACAGCCACCACCTGGGACAGCAGCATCAACAAATCCCGCAGATTCGGCCAAACACAAGCTCTGCAGCACCCGTGAGCTGACTGAGCGCAGACAGAGGTGCAAAGGCCATGTGATGCGGCTGTGACCTTGGGAAAACGGAGGCAAGGAATGCCTGTGGCTTCCTCCACGCCCGTGAGGGTCCCTGGTTGGCGCCGGACTGAGGTTCCTGCTCTTCATCAGGGAACCAGGTTCTGCAGACCCTGCCCAGAATGCGCCACGGTTTGGGGCAGGCCCTGCCCTGAATCGTGCTCCTCTGGGCAGCAGGAGCCTGGACCCCACGGCGGGAGACCCGTCCAGGGCTGACTGAGCCGAGGCGCTGACTGAGGCAAGCCGACAGCACACACGCAGCACGGGGCGCTATGCAGAGGGACAGTCAGGAAGAGTCCGGCAGAGCATGGGGCCAAGGAGGTGCCATCGCAGTGCAGCCTGGGCAGCTGCAGCCACAGGCGGGACGGGGTGTGGGGCTCCGCGGGGCCGGAGACTGGACGTGCAGCAGCCTGTGCGTCCCCAGCTGCAGTTAACTCAGCAAGAAAGAACGCTTCTCCGGACAAGACGGCAGAAGGCAGCGCCTGGTGGCACATCCCCCCAGTGTCCGGCACACCAGGATCACGAGACGCGCGAGAAAAGGGGAAAAATGTGACCCACAGTCCAGACACGGCAAGGGCCAGGCATCGGGTTTGCCAGATAAATCCTTCAATGCAGATATTAAAATGCAAATATAAATGTATTTTAAAAACCTGAAGGAAGACAATATTAAGGACGGAACAGATACGGACTCTCGTGAGAGGAGAACCCGTAGGAACAGAGACACCAGAGCTCGGAACCCGAACATGCGACGTTGGAAAGCAAACGAGCCAGCCACAGCCTAGACATCATGCATTGGAGGGACAGACTCAGGTAGATAAAATGAGCAGAGGCTTGGGACTTGGGGGCCGTGTCCAGGGCACGTGCGAAGCTCAAGTCCCAGGAGGCAGAGAGGGAGGACGAACGGTAACAGCTAATACTTCCTGGTGAGAGGCCCGGTCCCGTGTCTGCGCATCTCAGCAGACCCAATGAGGAGCGTTAAAGGCTCCAGGGGTACCGCAGTAGAACTCTGAAAACAGAAAGGAGCAGGGGGACGTACGGCGAAGGGCTTGACCCCACTGAAAACAGTGCACATTTTTATCAGGAATCTGGATGGCCAGAAGAACTAGAACAGCCTGGTCAAGGTGTCCAAAGAAGAAAATACCTGGAAACCCAGAACCCAGCAGCCAGCAACGACAGTCTTCAAAGAGGAGAGTGAGGGAAAGTCATCTCAGACCAACAAGGGTGCATCGCCAGCAGAGAGGTCTTCGGGTTGAAACAAAGCATGTGGGAACCGGAATGTGAAGGAAGGAAAGAGCCAGTGGGATCAGCGGAGTAGGTAAACGTGAGAAACTACCGTTTTCCTCTGTAATTTTCTTAAAACCAACCAAGCAAACAAACAAACAAATCCACGGGCTGTGAGACCAGATGGCAGCTCCGCGAGGGGAGGGAGATGTGTTTATGCCTGAGCCACATGGCACTACGTCCAGACGTGAAACCCACGAGCACGACAGCACAAAGGCAGCGGGTGCAGGAAGTGGGGAGGGGCGCCGCAGAGCTCTACCGTCAGGACGTGGGGAGGGGTGCGCAAGTGGCCCACAAGGACCTTGCCGCCTGAGGACCTGCATTACTGGCCCTTGAGCAGCCCTCCGCCCTGGGAGGGAGGGTGGAGAAACGAGCCAGCGAAAGAAGTGGAGCCGAATTCTAAAAATCAACCTCAAGGAAGGCAGGGAAGGAGCAGCCAGAAGCCGAAGGGACGAGCAGAAAGAAACGAGGCCAAGACAAGCTCAATGCGACACCAAACACAGAGGGGCTAGAGCTCCAGGCACCACAGATGGTCCCAGTAGATGAAAGGAAGATGGGTGGATGCTGCCCACCAGATGCGTGCCTCACAGCATCTCCCGCCCCTCTTCGCCCTGCTTTACTATCTTCCCAGCACTTAACACAGCCCGCCTGCTGAAAGAGTGGAGGTGGGGTGTGGGTGCAGGTGTGGGTGCAGGTGCAGGTAGACGAAGGTGCAGATGTGGGTACAGATGCAGGTGTGGGTGCAGGTGTGGGTGCAGGTGCAGGTAGACGAAGGTGCAGATGTGGGTACAGATGCAGGTGTGGGTGCAGGTGTGCGTACAGGTGCAGGTGTGGGTACAGGTGCAGGTGTGGGTGCAGGTGCAGGTAGACGAAGGTGCAGATGTGGGTACAGATGCAGGTGTGGGTGCAGGTGTGCGCACAGGTGCAGGTGTGGGTACAGGTGCAGGTGTGGGTGCAGGTGCAGGTGTGGGTGCAGGTGCAGGTGCTCAGCTGTACACCCTCACAGCACATCTCTAGGGCCTACCGTTGTGCCTGGCCCAGGATAGGTGCTCAGCAAATGTGTGACAAATGTGTCCAACCCAGTGCGGACAGAAGACCTGGAGACCCACATCTCAGCACTGACCCGTTAGTGCCCAGACACCGGATGATGCACCTGGTGTCATGGCCAGCAGGCACCACACCATGGCTGTGGCAGGCTCTTCCATCAGAGCCCGTGGAGCGGAGACAACAGGGCACTGGCACTGGTCTGCGGAGGAGGTCGGACCTGCCCTGAATCCTGCTGTCGGCGTGTGGCAGGCAGTCAGAGCCTCGGTGCCGGGATGCGCGCTGGCCCTAACTTTATGCCAGCCAGTGGGGAGGGCCACTCTGTCCTGCCCAGGGCACACTCGTGTCCTTTCTGATGTAGGTAGAGTTTCCTGCTGGCACCACTCTTTGGGGACATGAGTAGGACCTCAGCTTCCTCCCGGTGTTGAGGGATCCGCCCCAGGCCTCCCCGCACGAGCACCCACTTCTTGGGGGCACAGACTACCTGTCTGCCTTCTCCAGGACGTCGGCGATGTTGCTCAGCGGCTTCCGCAGCTGGCGCCGCAGGCTGTGCTGCAGCAGAGGGAGACACGTGTTCCACTGCGTAGCGCACACCACGTGGATGAGCCCCGGCTCGCCCAGGCGCACGGCTCGCTGCAGGGCCACGTCGAGCCTCTGTACTATGTTCAGCTGCACCTGCACGAGACCCATGGGCCACCTGTGCGGACAGGACGCAACCCCCCCCCCCCCCAGAGAGCTGGAGGCTCCGGTGGCTGCGGGGGCCGGGGCCTGGCATCTGAGTCTGTCTCTGGCCAGGGCCTGTGTCCCCACACCTCCAAGGGGCCGCTTGTCCGTCAGACACTTCCCTGAAAGGCCTGGAACGGGCCCTGCACATCCACTCAGTGCTTCTCTCGCACGAGCTGCTTCCACCCGAGGGTGTGTATTTCTCGAGCTGCTACAGGGACCACTGTGGCCTGCGGCCGGCTCTGTCTACGACGCAGAGACCATCTCCTCTGTCCTGTGCTACATGCGCCCTTCCCACCAGACAGCCTCTGGTCTCACATCTGAGGATGAGGGGAACCGGCTTACGGCCCACGCTTCCTCAGAGCCCCCTGGGGCTGCCCGCTGACCCGAAGCTTGGTCCCACGGCCTCTGGCTGCTGGCAGCCTCAGGGCCTCCCCTCACTCTGCCTCCCGAGCTGGCAGCCAATGCGCCCGGACCGGTGCCAGCAAGCAGGAGCAGGGGGACTGAGCTCGACACAGCCGCGCGCTGCAGCCCCTCGGGCCACCCGTGCTGCTGCAGCCCGTGACCAGACGTGGGGCTGGGGTGCTCGGGAAACCATGCCCGTCGCTGTCCCCCGACGCTGCCCTGGTCAGGCTCCTGCCAGGTGCCAGGTGGGCTCAGGGCTAGAGAAGCCCCACGAGCAAGTCCAGGAGGAACACGGACGTCCGCCAGGCAGCAGTGAAGGCGCAGAGCTGCTGCAGGTGCGGAGGACGGAGCCCCACGGCCCGCCGCTGCTCTCTGGCCCAAGGGCTCTCTGGGGCGCCCCGAGCAAACCCCAGGAGCTCCCGCCTCAGCCTCACTAGCCACCGCTACTCGGTGCCAACCGTTTGCTTTTCCTTTTAAGCTGCAAAATTCTCATTAACGAGTAACCTAAAACAATCTCTGGATTCCTTTCCCGGCCGGGGCTGCTGCTCCAAACCTACTGCGTTAAACAGCAGGTGCCCTTGTGTCCCCGTCACCCGAGGGGCCGGCAGCTTCCAGGAAATGCACAAAACTGCTGAGTGATGCCGTCTCCTGTTCAGGGATTTACCTCAACGGCCGCTCGGACATAGACTTTAAGTTTACGTTCGACACTTAAAGCTTCCAGTTCACACTCCAGGCACTCGATTTCAATCAGCTTCCCAGGATCCTGTGGGACACACACAGTTTCTGCATATACAGGAGACTTTTAAAGGAAGCAATCACACATTCATTAACCTCAAAGACCATTTTAAAATACTACTAACGTACTAGGTAGAAATTCAACAACAAAAACAAGAGAATACAAAGACATATAACAAAAACTTTAAATATTCCCCCAAAATGCAAAGCTTTTTTTTTTTTTAAGATTTTATTTATTTATTCGACAGACAGAGACAAAGCGAGAGAGGGAACACAAGCAGGGGGAGTGGGAGAGGGAGAAGTGGGCTTCGATGCGGGGCTGGATCCCAGGACCCTGAGACCATGACCTGAGCTGAAGGCAGAGGCTTAAGGACTGAGCCACCCAGGCACCCCCAAAATGCAAAGCTTTAAGTGAGAAAGCAAACAACATTTTCGATACCTTTTTAATCGTGGGGAAAAAAAGATAATTTCACTGGACATTGAATTTTTACATAATTATACCAACTTCAGATAAACTCTTATCACACTTGGAAAACACGTTTTCTTTCACTTACTCCCTGACAGGGTTGGGATGAGAGCACCCGCTTGGCAGGGGCAGAGGCAGAGGCGTGGGCAGTAGGAACCCAGGATTTGTCTCGCGGGCCTCACTTTGCTTCTACGAAACTGCTAAGCTCTTCCAAAGGCGCTGTGCCATTCTGCATTCCCGCGGGCTGGAGAGCTGTGGCGTCCCCACGTCCTCTCCCACACTGAGTGGGGTCGGTCTGTGTGTGCAGCCATCTAGGACGTGCGTCGCCGTGAGTTGGTCCAGAACGCACACGGGTCTCCACCTCGGTTCCCAGCAAAGCACTCCTGAAACGCTTGTGATGCTCTAAGTGTTAGAGCACTGGGGGGCATCCTTCCTTCCAAAGACTGCGGGCTGGTCCCATAAAGGCCAAGCCCTAATGACAAGCTTGGGGCTCTCAGCCCCACCCCCACCCTCCAGAAATGCATCACTAATTGGATCGTGCCTATGTGAGAAAACCCCCATAAAATCCCAATAGTACAGGGTCCAGGGAGCCTCCAGGTTGGTAAACACGTCCACATACTGGGAGGGTGGCCCACCCAGCTCCACGGGGACAGAAGCTTCTGCCCTTGCTCGGGACCCCCCCGAACTCGCCCCTACGTCTCTATCTGGCCGCTCATCCGCACCTTTATTATATAATAAATTGGTAAACGTGTTCCCCTGAGTTCTGTGAGTTGCTCTGGAAAACGGTTTGATCCCCTCGTTTGTAGACCAGAAGGACAGAAGTTGGGGGTACCTTGGCGGCCTTGTACTCGCCACTGGCACCAAAGTGGGGGAGCAGCTCTGTGGGACGGAGTCCTTCAGCTTGGGATCTGGTGCTGTCCCCAGGGAGAGCATGAGAATTGTCTAAAGCAGGAGGACGCGCAGCAGGTGGCCCGGAGACTTGGGGTGCGGGAAGGGCACGTGCGGCGGGAGAGCGAGGGCACGTGCGGCGGGAGAGCGGAGAGGAGCGCTGGGGACGGGGAAAGCAGTGCTTCTCAGAGGCCATTCTTCGGTCTGTCCACGGTCTTCACTGGGGAAAGTGCCCACCCAGAGCTTTCGGTTTCTTTTTTCTTTTCTTTCTTTTTTGGTTGTTTCCTCGAGCACTGAGAGCTCCCTGAACATTCTGGGGCGCAGCCCTTGGTCAGACACGGGACTCGCGGACACCTGCACTCAGGACCTACTTGCTATTTCATTTTCGGAACAGTATCAAAGAACAAAGGTTCTTCATTGTTAACAAAATGTATCAACTCCTGGTATGAATTATGCTCCTGACATCAAACCTAAGAAGTCTTTGCCTAACCCCAAATCACGAAGATTTGCTGTTGTTGCTCTGGAAGTTGTCTCACGTGAGGCCTCGTGTCCGCGTCGGTGGGAGGTGGGGGCCGGTGCGCTTCCTGCTTCGGTTCGGTTCCAGCTGGGACGCGGGCTGCTCCAGCGCCATCCGTGTTAGGGACGACCTCCCCCGCCACCGAACGCCGTCACGCCTCTGCCAAAAGGCAACTGGCCGTACGTTCGCGGGTCTAACGCTGGACTCGTCCCGTGGACATCGCGTCCTTCAGGCCAGCGCCACGGCGGCGGACGTGGGCGCCGCCGCCGTCCCCCCGCGGGTGAGGCAGCGGCCGTCCTCGATGCCCTCCTGCAGTTCCAGCGCTGCGCGTGGCGATCTCGGCGCCGTCGCGTCTCCGCACACGTTTTGTGACCCGCGTGCCCGTCTCTGGAGCTCTCCTGCCGGGCCTCTGCTTGGGACGGCGCCAGCGCCGCCGTCGACCTGGACAGAGTCTGGGGATTCACATCGGTATCTTCCCTCTCAACAGCCAATGACCTTTTGAGGAGATTTAAGTCTCAGTCGAGTCTTTCGCTCCTGCTCCCGTGGTGGCCCTCTCCAGGCCCCTCCCCACTTTCTGCAGACCCAGACTTCCCTCCCGCGCCACTCTCCTCCACTTGAAGAGCTTCCCCTATGTTTCCTGTAGTCTGAGTCACTCTTTCAGATTTTGTATATTTTAATAAATATTATATCTTTTTAAAAATTTTAAATATTTTTTTTAAAAATTTGAGAGTGAGAGAGCATGAGCCGTCAGAAGGAGAGAGAGAAGCAGAGTCCTCACGGAGCAGGGAGCCCGTCGAGGGGCTCGATCCCAGGAGCCCAGGATCATGACCTGGGCTAAGGCAGACGTTTCCCTGACTGAGCCCCCCAGGCGCCCCTTACCTCTGGCTTTTAAAGATACTTTCCGAGCGTAGATTTTTAGGCAGGTAGTTTTCTGTTTTTCATATTTTAAAGATGTTGATCTCACATGTCTTGGCTTGCATCGTTCCCAACGAAAAGTTAGCTGCCGTTCTTACCAGGGCTCCTTAGTACCCGATGTTTCCCCTCTTTAAAGATGACCACCTTTGGAATTCTGACCCATCGTTTCTCGGTGTCCTTTCTTCTCCGCCCTTCTCTCTCCTCTCCTCGGGGACTCCGGCTATGCACACGTTAGTCTGCCCAAAGTTGCCCCACGAGCCGCAGGAGCTCGGTTATTTCCGTGTTTCTCCTCTGCTTCATTCTGGTAGTGCTAATCTTTTCCTCTGAAATGTCAGTTCTGCTTTATTTTTAAAAAATTTTTATTGAGGTATAATTGACGAATTTGTATATGTGGAGTGTAGATGTGATGATTTGATATATGTATACATTAGGATTTTATTACCGTAATGAGGTAAATTAACAAATCAATCACTTCACATATTTTGTTTTATTTTCTCCTTTTGGCAAGAACGCCTAAGATCTACGCTTTGGGCAACTTTCCAGTATAGAGCACAGTGTTATTAACCACAGTCATCAAGCTGTACACTAGCACCTCCAAACTCATTCACCTTACAACGAAGTCAGTGCCCCGGGACCAACATCTCCTCCTCCCTGCACGCCAGGCCCTCGCAAGGCCCATTTTATTGTTTCTCCGTCTGGCTTCTTTCACTTGGCACGACACCTCTAGACATGTGCACGTTGTCACCAACGGCAGGATTGCCTCTGTGTGCCGTGTGGTGTGTGTGGTGTGTGTGTGCACGTATACACGCACACACACATTTCCTCTCTTTCTTTCTTTCTTTCTTTCTTCCTTTTTTGTAAAGATTTTATTTATTTATTTGACAGAGATCACAAGCAGGCGGAGAGGCAGGCGGAGAGAGAGGAGGAAGCAGGCTCCCCGCGGAGCAGAGAGCCCGATGCGGGGCTCGATCCCAGGACCCCGGGACCATGACCTGAGCCGAAGGCAGCGGCTTAACCCACTGAGCCCCCCAGGCGCCCCACACACATTTTCGTTATCCGCTTGCCCGCTGGTGCTCAGGTTGTCTCCCTGTCGTGGCTATCACGACTAGCGCTCTGAGGAGCAGGGAGCACACACAGCTCATCCAGGGACCAAGTTCACGTCCTTCGGGCATATGCCCAGGAGAAGCATCGCTGGGTCTACCACGGTCTGTTTTTAGTTTCTGAGGAACTTCCCCCCTGTTTCCTGTGAGGGTTTCCCACTTCACTTTCCCACCTCGAGTGTACAAGGGTTTCCTTTTCTCCACATCCTTGGGCATCTGAAGGGGGGTGGGAGCCAACACCTGTTACCACCCGTGTCTTTGCTGACAGACTCTAACGGCTGTGAGGGGACACCACGGCTTCCATTTGCAGCCCCTGACAGTGGGTGATGGTAACTTCCTTTTCACGTACCGCTGGGCCATCCAGGTCTCTTCTTTGAGAAAGTGTTTACTCGGGGCTTTAGTTCATTTCATTCACTAGAGCACTCGGGGTTTTGCTACTGAATTATATGAACTCCTTGTCTAGTTTAGGTGTCAACCCCTTCTCAGAAACTCGGCTGGCAGGGGCTTCCCTCCTATGCCATTCGTTGCCACTCCATTGTCGACCATTTCCTTTGCTGTGCAGAAGCTGCTGTTTGATGTAGTCCCTCTTGTTCACTTTTGCTTTCATTGTCAAAGTCAAAACATCGCCAAGACCCATGTCAAGAAGTTTTTTCCCTATGTATGCGTATGGGAGAGGTTTAATGGTTTCAGGTCTTAAAGGTCTTTAACCCCTCTCAAGTCGGTTTTTGTGAATGCTGTAATGTGGGGTCCAGTTGCCCTCCTCTGTAGGAGGTTGCCCGGCTTCCCCAATGTGTGCTACTGGGGCTTTGCCCAAGAACAGTCGACATTATGCGTGTGCACTGACTTCTGGGCTCCCGATTCTATTCTGCTGCTCTACACCTCTGTTTCTAAGCCAGTACCCCATAATTCCGATTACTATAGTTTTTAGTGGGAAGATGAAGAAGCGGGAGGCCTGCAGCTCCATTCTTCCTTCTCAAGAGTGCTGCGACTCTTTGGTGGTTCCACAGATTTTCGACAAGTTTTAAGATTTTTTTTTTAATCTTCTGTGAGAAAGGCCATTGGAATTTTGATAGAGATTGCATTGAATCTGTAGATGGTTTGGGGTAGTATGGGCATTTTAACCATTTTAATTCTCCCAATCC